CTCTCTCTCTCTCTCTCTCTCTCTCTCTCTCTCTCCCCCTCCCTCTCTCTCCTCTATGTTTATTAGAGGTCGAGAAATTTGTGTGACGGTCATTAATTGTCGAAGAGACCGCTTCAGCGGGCCGAAGATTTATCGCGTAATTAAACGGATTACTCCTCCAGTTGAGCAACCGGCGACCAGACCTCCGCAAGTGTGCCAATATGACGAAGCCACCTGCAGCAACGGCGACTGCATCCCCAAGTCGTACGTGTGCGACGGTAAATTCGACTGCACCGACGGATCCGACGAGATGCGATGCAGTAAGTACTCTCGTTCCCCATCCGAACTCGCCTACCTCTCCTCTCTCGTCGCCATTCATATTTGATCGTTCGAATCTCACGCGAACGTCGCGCGATCGTTTCCTCGATAGGTCCGCACGGATGCGAGCCCAACGAGTTCCGTTGCAATAATAAGCAGTGCGTCAGCAAGTTGTGGCACTGCGACGGCGACAAGGACTGCGCCGACGGCAGCGACGAGGAGAACTGCGCGCCGTCTCCTCCGGGATCCGCCTGCCGTTACAACGAGTTCGCCTGCAGCAGCAACAAGCAGTGCATCCCGAAGAGCTACCACTGCGATATGGAGCGGGACTGCTTGGACGGCAGCGACGAGCTCGGTTGCTGTCAGTATCTCCGTCTTCCTATCTCGACCACGCATCGATATTTCATCGCGCACCGCGTCGTCCGGTTGCCATATCGGATAAAGTTCACGACGCGGACTAACTTCGAGCGAACTGCTCGTGTCCGAGAGTCATTCAACTTTCGAGCGAACTCGACGAAGACGATGATTTTATTAATGCACGCCTGCTTTCTTTAATCTCCTCAGGGAAGCCGGCACATATGTGTGCATTTAGATACGTTCAATTTCTCTTCTTCAATTCGAACATCGCCGACAAAATGTACAACGAATACTTATTGAATAAAAAGACTCTCAAGATAGACACAATCAAAGTGAAGAAAAAATTGAAGACGAATAACAGTCAACGCTGTTATATAGAGCGATGCAATATTTAAAGACTTCTTTAAAAAATTCCGGTGAAAAGAATCTTAAAAAATTGTAAAAAATTCCAAAGAAACTCTTTTAATTCACGTATACAAACTACTCAGAAAAAAGAGATGGTGTTTAATAATGCATATTTATTGTGAATAAAATATTCATTCAAATAAAATATTCATCAAAAAATTCCGCAAAATAAAAGAAGAAAAAGAAAAGAAAAAGCTCATCAGCTGATTAACAGATGTCAAATGACTTGTATTACTTTAAAATTTAATTATTTCCTTTTAATCTTGATAAATTCCCTGAGGAGGTTAATTCTTTAAAAGACAAGCTTGAATGCATGAAGTTTTAGAAGTTTGAATCATCGTTGGCAATCTTCATGATTGCTTTTTTTTGTATAGCTCCCGTTTACATCGTGAAACCACCACCGCCGATGGTCGTTCTTGAGCCGGGCGACATGCTGATCCTCACCTGCACGGCGATCGGCGTTCCGACCCCCGAGATCAACTGGCGACTCAACTGGGGACACATTCCATCGAAATGCACGACCACGTCCGTCAACGGAACAGGTACATTGACGTGTCCAGACATACGACCCGAGAACCAAGGTGCGTACTCGTGCGAAGCCTTGAACGTCGCCGGCTTCGTGTTCGCTGTACCGGATGCCATCGTCGTCGTGAAGGAGCCCGGCAATATCTGCCCGAAAGGCAAGTTCAATTCCGAGGCAAAGAGCCCCGAGGAGTGCATCTCCTGCTTCTGCTTCGGCGTCGCTACCGAGTGTCGCAGTGCCGATCTCTTCACTTATCACATCCCGCCGCCGTTCGATCGTTACAAGATCGTGTCGGTCGAGACCACGCCGACGATCAGAATCCACGGTGACATCAGCAACCAAATATCTCAAATTCGACCGCTCGGCCGAGACGGCGTGCAGCTCCTGGAAGCCTTCAGCAACGACCTGAACGCCTACAACGTCCCCTATTTCGCGCTGCCGGAGAGCTATCATGGCAGTCAACTCAAGTCCTACGGCGGCTACCTCAAGTACTCCATTCGCCACAGCGGCAACGGCACACCGAACAGCGCGCCCAACGTCATCGTGAGCGGCAACAATTACATCCTGATGCACAAGAGCAGAGAGTCGACACCGAATTTCGAGACCGAGGAGTCCGTCAGGTTCTTCTACGGCGAGTGGTACAAGCAGGAAGGAAGAACCGAGTCCTTAGCCTCCAGGGAGGAGATCATGATGACATTGGCGAACGTGGATAACATCCTCCTCAAGTAAGCGTCGCGAGTCCAGTCGAATTCGTCGCGTTCGCCACGTATGGGACGTCACTTCAGCAGCGTTCGATGTGTTTCAGGGTGAAATACGACGACTCGCCGCAGATAGACGTGCGTCTCACCAACATCATCATGGACACCGCCGATGTGCGAAACACCGGCCTGGGATCGGCGTCCTACGTGGAAGAATGTCAATGTCCCAGTGGTACGTACGATTGTGGTACTAACGATCGCGGAGTGCACTTGTTCGTTAGTTTGCTACCGCGTAAGCAGAATATCATACATTTCGCTCATTACTTGACTCGCGATCGTCTTCAAGGCTACACTGGTCTCTCGTGCGAGCAGTGCGCACCTGGATACCTGAGGCGCGAAAATGGACCATGGCTCGGCCAGTGCTACAGAGACGAGCCACCGTGTCCTCCGGGATACTATGGCGATCCCTCGAGAAACATCCCTTGCCAGATCTGTCCTTGTCCGCTCACCAACCCGTCGAACCAGTAAGAGCGAGCTAAACTTCTCAGACAGCACAAATGTCTGTAAAATCTACGATGTCTCAGAGACATCCAAGAGATGTGCAAAACAAGTGAGATATCTTTCCGACATCTCTGAGACATCTTTTGAACATTTGTGCTCTCTGAGTTGCGTCGTGCTAATTGCAGTGTTTCGAGTGGTTCAGACACATTCACGCGTTAATGAACTTCAATCGCGAAAAACAGGTTCGCCCGTACGTGCCACCTCGGATCTGACGGGCAACCTACGTGCGACTGTCCCGCTGGCTACGTCGGACGCAGGTGCGAGCAGTGTGCCTCCGGTTACCAAGGGAATCCCCTTATTCCCGGTGACATGTGTGTCGCGGCCCAACAATGCGATCCTAACGGCAGCCTCAGCCCTAACGCTGATCTGCACACTGGAAGGTGCCATTGCAAGGTACTATACTGACGATTACTACGTTGCCTTCGTGCACGCAATTCTGTTACGAGGTACCTTAGAAATGCCAAAATTGTGAAAATATCAATTAAATTTTTCTCAATTTAATAATCGATTTGAACAAATATATTTCAACTCAACTAATTAACGACTGACTCGAGCAAAATCAATCGACGAATGCTTAATTAACGATTGATTTCAACGAGTTCAATTGATAATCGATATGAGCAAAGGGAATCAAGGATCGTCCAATCAACAATTAAACTTAGCAAGATTGTTCGGTGACGATTGATATAATCAGAGTTCCGATTCTCAACGTTTCTCAATCATCAGTATTTCCCACAATGCCACGCTGCTCAGAGAATAAATATTACTCACAAAACCAATTGTAACTTTGAATAATCGAATGCTCTTTGATTGAATTAACTGAATTTTTTCATATTAATCACCGATTAAACTGTAATTAAACTTGCTAAGCTCATATGTCAATTAAACGGCCTTTAATTAAATTTACTGAGTTCAATTGTTAATTGAACGATCTTTGATTCCCTTCGCTCATATCGTCAATTAAACGGTCTTTAATTCAATTCATTGAAATCTAATCGCCAATTGAACAGCCTTCGATTGAATATGTTAAGATCCGTTGTCAATTAAACGTTGTCTCGAAATAAATTAGTTTGTATTAAGCGTCAATTATATAAATCAGGATAATTGATTTATAAAAGCGTCAATTATACTATAAATCAGGATAATTGATTTAAAAAATAATTACTCGCAAGCCTGCTTAGAAATCGCGCACTTTTTCTCGATCGAGATCTCTTCTGAAAGAGAAAGATCTTTTTGCGTAAACGTTAGATTTACGCTGTGGAAATCCGGACGAGAGAAATCGCGCGACTTCTCGAGCAGACCGCATAACGTTTTTACTGTTGTTCACGCATCCATTTTTCGTGGATTCTTTTGACATTAAAAATGTAAGTACACAATTTTTCCAAATATTTTAATCGACACACGACGATAAATAAGCGATGCGATGCCGCGATGTCGAGAAGCGCCGTCTATTTTCTGACGTTTCTCATTTCAGGAATACGCAACGGGTCTGACTTGCAACCAATGTAAGGCGAATACCTTTAATCTGGCCTCGACAAATCAATTTGGATGTATAGCTTGCTTCTGCATGGGCATCACCAACCGATGCATCTCGTCTAACTGGTATAGGAACGAGGTGAGCCAGAGACATTACTTTTCATTTATCATTTTCCGCGTGACTCTAGCCTTGACACGATTCTACACTGAGGGGAAAATTATCTTAAAATCAACAAATATTTATTTTATGGGTGCCGTTAACATATTTACTTAAATCTAAATTCTCTTTATTTAAATTAAATATTATTTACCTGATTTAAGCAAATAATATTTGGTTTAAATAAAGAGAATTTAGATTTAAATAAATATGTTAATGGCACCCATCAAAGAAATATTTGTTGGTTTTAAGGTAATTTTTCCCTCAGTGTACTAAAGAGGCTTTCTCGATACCAAAGATGATACGCAGCGCGATTTTACATTTCTCATTGCAAAGATTAAATTTAAAACAAAGATTATAGTAAGGTATAATAAAGTATAGTAACGTATGATATCTGCAATATGTATCATACATTAGAAATAATTTACTATCCAAAAATTTAAATTTCGCGACATTTGATATTAAATGTAAAAAAACTCAAGCTTCTTTGTAACTGATCGCTGTGTGCTAAGTCGCAGTGTTGACTCTTACTTCCCTTGTTAATTTTTATCGTATATCTTGAAAAAGCTCTTCTAAGTTTATTTCGTTTAGAAATTTACAGTATCACAATCGGGCGATCAATATTCGCCTTATTCTGCGCGTTTTTGCGCGAATCTTGAAATCGCGCATTGCATGATTTCCAAAACTCCAAAGATGTTCTCCCAAAGTTGAACATCCTTCGCACAATTATAAAAATAGAACTATGATCAATCACTGACATGTTGCAGATTCGTGTGTCGTTCACCAATTCGATCCGAGACTTCTCCCTGATCGAGTCGAAGAGCACAGACGCACCGCCGATCATCGATGGTATTCATTTGGACACTATCAGCCGGGAAATCATTTACAACGGTTTCCCCAATCGTGGAAATAACGACGTCTACTACTGGCAGTTGCCCAGCATTTTCTTGGGCGATCAAATAACATCTTACGGCGGCAATCTCAAGTACACCGTCCGATACGTTCCTTCCCCGGGCGGTCAGAGTTCAAGGAACAACGCCGCGGACGTTGAACTCATCAGCGTGAGTGCAAATTCGCGAGTCATGATCCTTTTGCTTGGCGACGAAGATATACTAAAGTGACTTAATGCACACAGGCTAACGACATCAACTTGCTCTACTACTCCCGCGAGTCTCCCGAGCCAAACTCTCAGCAATCGTTCACTGTGCCGTTGCTCGAGCAATATTGGCAACGCAATGACGGGACCCAAGCGGACAGGGAGCATCTTCTAATGGCCTTGGCGGACGTACGAGCCATCAGAATCAAAGCCACTTACACGACACACACTGACGAAGCCGCGTAAGTTCGTACTACATTGTACCGATTGCATTACACGTTAAATTTGCAGTATTCTTAGCTATTGTATTCAATAAGCGAAATTGATAGACGCGATATGCGCATGTGTGTGTGTTCGTTCCTCAAAGCTTCTCAAAAACATATAACAATCTGAGAAGTGTGTGAGAAAAAGCGAATGTCGAGAACATTCGAAGAAATTGTCAATCTATTGGCCCGAGTGTCTACTCCGGGAAAAAATTCTTATATGTAATTATATAAAATTATATACGATTTTACATATGAATTATATATGAATTTTATCCCTATACGGTCACATATATAATCACATGTATGTTTCCGCACAGAAAAAATAATTTTAAGTAAAAAGAGGCAAGAAACAATTTCATTCGATTAAACCATTAAGTGCTACCAGAAGCATAAGTATTTACTTCTATTGTATTCGCATGATAATAATTTATTCGCTGTGGACATATATAGTCAGGCTATATGACCATATAGAAACAAAATTCATACATGATCTTGTTCCGGGACTATAAATCTATCTACGAAAAATCAAAAATTGAGAAGATGCAAAAGTACTTCCTCAGGTTTTTCAAGGTACAATTTATTTCTCCAGGCTTTCCTTCGTGTCTTTGGACACTGCCGAAAAGTATAACACAGGCAAGGAGCGGGCAGTCGAAGTGGAAGAGTGCACTTGTCCCGCCGGCTATAGAGGACTTTCATGCGAAGATTGCGATGTTGGTTACACGCGGGCCATCGAAGGTCTCTACTTAGGCATCTGCGAGCCGTGCAACTGCAACGGTCATTCAAATCAATGCGATCCTGAGACCGGTATTTGCGAGGTAAGTGACGGAAACGAGCTTGACTGATAATTCCGACACGGCCAAATTATTAATTTCGAAGATATTTCAATCTCCCAACCGTGCTCGGCCTTTTTCGACCTGAACATCCTTAACAAATTCTCGCGATGTTAAAGTATTATCAACGCAACGATGTGTTTATTGTAACATGCAAAAATGCATATGAGTTACGATAAAAGCAGCATTGATTCTATGCTTGGAATTATTTAAAGAACTTTTAGAGTCGAGAAAGGAATATCATTAAGAAGTTCAAATCGAAAAGTCGGTTTCTTTTCAAATGTAACTCAATTCCTTCGACAGCACGTTGTTAAATATAAAGTTAAACTTGATTTAAGTGTAAGCGGAATATTTTACGTTGATAGAACTGCGCGCACCATACTACTGGCGACTCTTGCGAGGTATGCGAGCCCGGATACGAAGGAGACGCCATTCGAGGCACCCCGAACGATTGCACGAGTGAGACACCCGGACCGAGATGCAGATGCAATGCGGACGGTTCGCGCAGCACGGCGTGCGTCGACGGCCGATGCGAGTGCAAAAGGAACGTCGAGGGCCCGGAATGCAATCGGTGCCGCCCGTCGACATACGGATTACGTGCTGAGAACATTGATGGATGCATCGAGTGTTACTGCAGCGGAGTAACTGATCAATGTCACGAGAGCACGCTGTATATACAGCAAATACCGATGTGGGTGTACGACTCCCATCACGGCTTCACTCTCACAGACTCGTAAGTGTACTCGCATTCTTGCAAATAGCGTTCTCTGGTCATTTTTATTATAAAACAAAAGGAATCTGGCTCCAAAAAGGATAAGAAATAAACTCGATTCTTAACTTATGAGAACCAACCGCTAAACGAACGTTAACATTAATACAGATATCTCTAAGGTAGAATGTTAAACGTTTAACATTGTTAAATATTAACGTTTCGAGCAAATCTTCTTCAATTGAGTTAGATATTAAGGAAACTTGTATAAATCTTTTTGTTAACAGCGAATTTAATTGAAGAGAGTCTGCAACATTTGCTAAAATTTTACTTTAGGATTTTTTTAATAAACTGCAACGCTCGTTTAACAGCAATTGGCTCTCATAGATCAGATATCAAGTTTATTCGTTTTTATTCCTGTCCTCGCCTTTTTTCAGCAATTTTTTAATTAAATAATACAAGAATCGTATGTATGCGTTAGGATGTGTATGCTGGTTTATCTTCTGTTTCGTTAAGTTAAATTCGCGCGACACAATAGGTAAAATTGAAAACTAAATCTCTAATCAATATGCGGATTTTCTTCTTCCGCAGAACTCGACGCGACGTGGTCGCGGACGGCTTCGAGCTGAACGTGGCAATGAACGAGATCGGCTATCGTTATCCGGACAGCAGAAGCCGCAGACTGTTCTGGTCGCTACCGAGCGTTTTCACGGGCAACAAAGTGAAGAGTTACGGCGGAAACCTCACACTGACGCAACATATCACCGCGTATCCTGAAGCCAAGAGTTACAAAGACCAAGACATTCTGTTAATCGGCAATGGCATTACGTTGTTCTGGACGAATCCAACGGAAATTCAACCCGACATCCCCATGGTAAAAAAATAACTACTGAGTACTTGCAAGTCTGACGTTTTTGTGATCTCGCGGATTCTTCAAAAGTTCGATATGTAAGTCGAGATACATAATGGCTAATACATGTCTGTTCAAATCTTTCGTAGACCTACACTGTCCCGCTGAAAGAGAACGAATGGAGACGCTTGACGACCGAAGGACCGCGTAGCGCTTCTAGAACAGATCTTATGATTGTGCTCTCCAATTTGGAAGCTATTCTGGTCCGCGCATCCCACAGCGACCGGATGACCGCGACATACATCAGTGACATCAGTATGGACACAGCCGTGGAGACCCTCACCGGGAACCGACGAGCGACGCAAGTAGAAGCCTGCCGTTGCCCGCTTGGCTACATAGGAAGCTCTTGCGAGACCTGCGCACGCGGTTACTACAGAGATACCAGCGATCGGTCCGTCAGTTACCTGGGCTCGTGCAATCTTTGCCCGTGCAACAAGAACGAGGAGAGCTGCGAGATCAGCAGATCCGGTCAGGTCAAATGCCACTGCCTCCCGGGTTACACGGGACTGTACTGCCAAGATATCGGTAAGATGTAACTCACGTCACGTTTGAAGTGCCATGTACAAAGCAATTCGCGAAACTCGATTGCTCTGATTATTTCTGCTTGAAAAAATCTGAGGGGAATTTTCGAAATCTTGAAAAAGGAAAAATGGAGAAGGAAAATGGCGTAGATGAGCGTAAGAAAAGTATGCCATCCAAATCGATTCTTCCGGATGGGACCAGACAAGACGAAAGATTTGAATCGCTCCGCTAGTAGAAATGACAATTCAGACGATCGAGTTACGTGAATTACCTTTTACAATATATATCGCAAATTCTCGTGAGCGTGAGTGAGATTCTTTCAGCACAATTACCTTTACATCATAGTAAAGGTTTGTACTCCGTCTAAAAATAGTAATCAGCAATGACACATTGGTCAGGTGAGCTGATGGTAAGCTTAATGCCCATGAACGGCGCAGTCAGGACGTACTCCACGATCCAATTTAAGTGCAACTATGACTATCCAGACACCTTTTACATCTATTTTAAATTGTCGTCGCTTGACGGATTGCCCGTAACTACGTGGGGCGACAAACCCGGTCCCATAATCAAGACGACAAAGGGAGCTTTTCGCACCTGGTCCGTCCACGTGAACAGCACCGCTTGCAACGTGGAATGCCACATCGTGAACTACCGTGGCAAAGAACTGATCAAGATCGTGACATCGATTACGCCAGGTTTGACGGACCGCCATACGTCTTTTTTGTCTGTCCGTCCATCGGTGATTCAGGGAGAACTCTGTGATCATCTTGTTGTTACTAGGTTATCGTAGAACAAGTCTGGTGACGGAACTTCGCCTTCCTTGAGTCACGATTGTCGTCGTCTAGTTCCCTGTAGTCTCGTAACTTCTCTCAGAATCAGATACTTGCCGACGGAGAAGCTTATCTTTCCCCTGGTATATGGTACTCCTGCGAATATCGATTTACACCGGGATATGTGTTCCATAGTGATTAATCCACAGATTATCTTCGGTATAACCGTCATTGTAACGATGTCTCGTCCAATGTGCTGGTGATGGTGTTCCCGTGTCCGAGGAGAATACTGTCCACGATATGCTCTTAGAATCGTAGGGTCCAACAAAATCCATGTCGTCTTCGTGAATTATTTCTCATCTCGTTCTAATGTAATATAGTCTGCTGCACTTATGAGTGCACGAACATATTCTGCACGCTTTAAGAACAACCTTGCCAATGTTCGCGCGTTTTCTTCGTAGTTGGAGAAACAACGACTACCACACCAGGCCCAATACCTCCGGCAAGGATCATGGTTTATGTGCAAGAACCAGAATTCCAGATCGTCCACACAGGAAATACCGTCAGATATCATTGCACGGGCAGATCGCAAGATAGCGTAAGCTTTTCAAATTCATATCATGCTGTATAATACAGTCATAATAGATGTAATTATCAACTTCTCTTCTTTGTCATTGTAAATAGGATTCGGTACGCATCAGATGGGAGAAAGAAGGTGGCCAATTACCGCCCGGAAGGAGCGTGGACGACGCGAATGGACTATTGGTCATTAGGGACGTGAAGGTGTCTGACAGCGGTATATATGTCTGCCAAGTGAGCGATGGAATAAACATCGCGATCAAGAAAGTCACCCTGACTGTCGGAGGTACGATACATTCATGATCAATTACCGTCTCGCTCTACGTGCCAAATGAAAAATGTAACACAATTAAAAAAAGTTGCCGTTTCATCGCGCGTTCTTCTTTAAAATAAGTTTCGGGCAAACAAGTCAAAGAATGAGCCGATAAATTTGTATTGCGTGTCTTTGTTAATTCATTACGCACTGTTAACGCAGCATTCCCGAAGCACTTGCTGGAAATACCAGGTACAAATCATAACCGCGGCGAATCGCTTGTGAAACAGATCATAACTTCATCGCGTTATTTAAGGGGCCAATCCGGTGGAACCCAGAGCTGTGATAAGTCCAACCTATCAGCAAGTGAGAGAGGGCAAACCGGTGGAATTCCGTTGCGAGGCCACCGGTAATCCACCGCCGCAATTAGACTGGGTGCGAGTCCACGGCGCCATGAGTCCAGAGGCGACCTTCTACAACGGCATTTGGAATCTACCGGCCGCGTCGAAGAGTGACGCAGCCGAATACAAATGTATCGCCAGGAACAACGTTGGTATAGATGAGAAGACGACCGTTTTGTACGTTGAAGGTACGATCGAGGCGTTCGCGCGATACCTATGAAATATCAAATCGTTGCGCACAAAAATCACACCTGATAATCGCTATTTAGCACACATTAGATTCGTTAATGTAACTAAATTTTCTGCTGCCGAGAAAAAAACTCGGTTGTGAGAACAGAAAAATCCCCCCTGGAGTTTTCAATCAATTGTCTCTTAGTTATCTCAATTGAATTTTGATTCAGCCAAATCTGCTCAGCCGATAATAGAGATACCGTTTCTCATCACCGAGTTTTCGTCCGACGTCCATCCAATTAATGAAGAACAAAAGTTCCTTACTTACACGTATACAAACAAGAAAAGAAATCCTACTTCAAAGAATGGCTACAATTACGACTCCTACATTCTCATCGAAAATTTCGATCTATGTTACAGACAACCCAGATAAGCCACCGCCTCAAATTATACCGCCGACTGTAACTCCATCCGAATGGTCCGGGACCAGCGGAGACGCCGTGAGACTGATCTGCACACCGTCTCAGCGTGCGAACGTCACCTGGACGAGATCCAGCGGACTCCCGTTACCCAACTCCGCCAGTCAACGCGACGGAGTCTTGACCATCACCAACCCCAGCCCCAGCGATTCCGGCATATACGTGTGCACGTCGACAGATGTTCGCGGAACGGAAACGAGCACCACCGCCAAGATCGTGATAGTGCCTCGCAGGGAACCACCGACGATCAAAGTGAAGCCCGAACGACAAGTGGTGTCTCAAGGCACAGTAGCCGAAGTGCGATGCATCACGAGCGGAGAGCCAGGAATATATGTGAAATGGAGCAAGTACACGGAAACGATGAGCTCGCGCGTACAACAAGTAGACGACACGCTGAGGATTGTCAACGCTCAGGTCTCTGATCGGGGAGTATACATCTGCCGAGTGAGCAGCCCCACGGGCAGTTACGAGGCCAGTGCTATCATCGAAGTTGCACGTAAGTTTACAATAGCTTCCCACAGAAGAAGAAAATTATTATATATAATTATTATAATATATTAATTATTATATAATATTATATATAATTATTATATAATAATTATATATAATTATTATATAATATTATATATTAATTATTATATAATAAATTATTTACAAATTATATAATTATACCCTATGAATGTTGTTTCTATATATGGCCTCACAAATATTTAATCATATATAATTATATATGGCCATAGAGATAAAATTCATATACGCTGGAAAAAACCACTTGGAAATCTTTGTGGGATATAAAGTTTATTCACAGGATAAGACTTTATTTCACGGAAATAAAGTTTGTACTCCACAAATAAATTTTTAAATATTTTCCCTCAGTGTATAATTTTTTTCTGCCGGGTCGACATCTCGCGCAGACTTCGATAAAAATATGAGATACGCCGCCTGATGCTGATATCACTGCACAGCTAAATGTCAATGTTGCAGCTCGTGAAGCTCCGATCCTGGAGCTGTATCCTCAAGACGTTCAAACCGTCATCCTCGGCGGTTCCGCCGATCTTCAGTGCCGCGCAAAGGCCGGCTTCCCCGTACCCGAGTTACATTGGTCTCGCCAAGACTATCGATCGTTCGCCTCTAACATCGAACAACTCCCCGGCGGCCTTCTCAGACTATCGAACATCACAGCGAACGACGGCGGCGCCTACATTTGCTCCGCGTCCAACGAGGTCGGCTCGACGTCGATCATCGCGCACATCGAGGTGCAGTCCATGCCTGTGATCACCATCACCCCGAAACACGGCATCTTGCAGGTGAAACGCGGAGGACAGATCCGCCTGGTGTGCAGCGCGAGTGGACACCCGCAGCCCAACGTAGCTTGGAGCAAACACGTGAACGGAATGACCGTCTAGTGAGTTGATCTTATTATCAGATGATGTGATCAGCGCGATACTCTAAATCCACCACAGAGATATTGCTACGAACAACATGTTGTTGAGCTACACAATGATACAAGACTGAACGACATCATTATGTAATTTACAGCGACACGTACAGCAGAAAAGCGGCCACCCCGTTGAGCGCCGTGTACGAGATATTCTCCGTTTCACCCAACGACGAAGGCTCCTACACATGCCAGGCCACGAATGCGGTGGGAATAGCTGAAGAACGAATTCAAATTCGCATCGAGGACGACAACGACGTGGATGAACCTTGTACCGGCGACAGAGGCGACATTCCGTGCCCTCCCGACGACTCACAACCACATCATCCCATTGACGTACGTATTCCTAAATTTTGTTCACCTACCTACCTTCACCTACCGTTCACCTTCTAACAACATTCCCTTATCGAAACGTGATCTACAGAGAGGCTCGAATCAAGGAGTGTTAATTCCCGAGGACTACCTGAAGATCCCGAACGGCGGCAAGGTAGAGATGCGTTGCCAGGTGTTCGGACCCGACGGAGACCACATCTATTTAGACTGGAAGAGAAGCGATCATCGCTCCTTACCGCAGGGTAGCACCGTACACAACGGAGTATTGAGCATCCCGACCGTCGACAGAACCGCGGCTGGAGAATATATCTGTCTGGGCTTGGATCCTGCCGGCACCGTGCTCTTCAGAGCGAAGTCTCATCTCGAAATTATATGTAAGTAACGACCCAGTGAACAAGAGATCACTGATAGAATATTATTGCGACAACACTCAATAGCAGATAATATTTTCTAATATTTAGCTTTTAACGTTGATCAACATCATTACGAATAACTTCGAAACGTCAATATGTCTAACAAATAAATTTACCCAAAAGTTACACTCCAATTTCCTTCTAATTTGGCACAAAAATATTTAGGTCATATTTTTTTCATTTTGGCTCACTTTGAGTTTCACGAGCAGTTTATAGCTTTTTAATGTTCTCACTCCTATCATCAACAAGTACAACAAAAATGCATAATAAATAAAATTGAATACAAGACATAGGCGTTTTTGGTTTACTGATTATGAATATAAAGTCAAATATGTAAAATTATTTGTATAAATAATAAAATATTTAAACAAAGTATGTAAAAAGTTGAAAAAAAAATTATTTATAAAAATAATTTCACGATTTGGCCGAAATTCGAACCATTTTTGACTAATTTAGCACAGATTTGAAATATTTCGGTTGGAATCTCGGCTAAAGAAATTTAGAATGGTTCGTGTCTCAGCTATGCCGATTTTGTTAAAATTATTTAACTATATTCTGTATTCAATTTTATTTCTTATGCATTTTTGTTGTACTTGTTGATGATAGGAGTGAGAACATTAAAAAGCTATAAACTGTGAAACTCAAAGTGAGCCAAAATAAAAAATATAACCTAAATATTTTTTGTACTTCTACATTTGTGCCAAATTAGAAGGAAATCGGTGTGTATCTTTTGAATAGGTTTACTTGTAAAATACTCTTGTTACAACATCCATAAAGATCACGTTATATCTAGTAGTATCTTGAACTTTGTAAAAATTTATTAAGAAACGTTCCAGGAAATTAACACTTCAACATATCGATCTAATGCTTTTTGTTCAATGAGGAATAGCTAGGAGAAATAGCTGAGAGATATGTGTATAAAAGAATGTTGAATAGACTTGAAGGCAGTTTTTTTTCTCTCAATGAATAAAGCGAAAGTAGAGGTTGTTTGTTTTCAACGTTCCGTTTCCTATTCTACGATAAGAATGACCACTTCTATACCGTTCAATTTGAACTTCTTCCAGCCCCACCGAGGATCGACCTGAACCCTACGCATCAGACAGTAGGTCCCGGCGAGAACCCATCCATCGTTTGCACCGCCACGGGAGATGAGCCTCTACATATCGAGTGGGAGGCCATAGGACGACCGTTACCATACTCGGTAACGCACCACAATGGTATCCTGCAATTCCACGGTATCGCCTACTCCGATGCCGGCAAATACGTATGCAAAGCGACGAACGGAGCGGGAACGGCGGAAGCGGTGGCTGAAGTTTCAGTCAACGGTTAGTAGATGAAACCAGTTGGGCCACTTGACTTTATACAACGTCAGAATGTTAACGCGGAGCACTACAGAGTTAAGCGAGAACGGGATACTTTAGACTGTCGTGAGACAATTGATGAGAGAAGTAACTTCTTGAAAAATGGAGAACAATGGGCCGAGACAAATAAAATCTTATTTGTCAATATAGAAGACGATAAGAATCAGTTGCGAGTCTGAGATGCACATGTACTTACAATATACTATACAGGGGAACGAAAATTATTTTATTAAATAATAAAATAATTTATATCTACACGTATAACTCGTGCTATAAACGCGTATACGGAAAGAGAAAGATTAACATTCATTGAACACTCGAAAGCTGCGTGGAGAAGAGCAAATTATAAAGTGTGGCAACGTAATTTACAGAGCATTCTTACAACGACACGAGAATTCACGCGGAACACAGGGACGTGACGACGTACGCCGGCAGTTCCGTACGCTTACGCTGCGACGTGCGCGAACGCGCGACAATTCACTGGAGCCGCGAGGGACAAGCGTTGCCGATCACCGCGCGAATCGGGGAAGACTACCTGGAGCTGATGCAGGTGAAACCCGAAGACAGCGGCCGATACATCTGCCAAGCGCAAACCAGCCGCGGTGTATCGAGCGATTATATTAATTTCAACGTTTCGCGTAAGTTGCGCTACGTTATCCAGCTCCTCGTCATTTCTCAGCATCATCATCATTAGATCTCGCTTATCATAATGCATCTACTGATGACTGCGACACGTATTTTCACGCTGAACGATGTCTTACGCCTGTTACGAAGTCTTAATTTCGCGCTTGACTTTTTCGGGATAGTTTCGCAGTCCACCAGTGAGAGACACTGTCACCACTTGGAATCGTGAGGGAACTCCCGAGGGAGTTGAGCCGCGAACTGCTTCTTTACGAAATATTTTGTTTGCCATTCCCCCGCGATTTCATCAGTTTAAACTATAGACGCGACAACCCGAATATGTCTCTCAACTTCGATTTTCCACTTTGGGAACCATATTAACAATCGTTACTTGAAACTTGCCACAAGTAAGATATTCAGATTTAAATTTAGAATTAGATTTCAATCTTTCCGGCTGAATCGTGATTGTAAATGTAATGTCGCATATATTGTGTGATTCGAGTAAAAAACTCAAATCTAATTCTAAATTCATATCCGAGTAGTTTCAAATAATAAAATAGACGTGATGCATTAGACTCTGCAAACGCTTTGAAGCGCTTAACCCTTTCACTACCAATTTTGTTTTTTAAAAACACAATTTTTTTCTTTACCTTCACTTCATTAAGTACATTAATATAATGTAGTTTTAATAAAAAAAAAAATTAAAAATTTTATGATTGGCGCTAAAGCGATAAGACCGGGACACTGATATTTTTGGTAGGATATATTTGTGCTAACAGAGTAATAAGTAGAGCGGTAGCTGATATATTCTGAATGTCGAAAAAGCTGTTTATTCAATTGAATAAGGTTATTATTAATGATGAAGAAAACATGTCTCGAGACATATATCCCGTTGGTAGCGAAAGAGTTGAAGAAAATGATTATATCAACCAATCTATAATTGGTCCATTGGCGCTTCAAAGCATTTAATATCTAATGGATCGCACCCTATTAATACGGACCGATTCAAACCGTGTTAAATTCGTGTTTATACAAAAAGAAAATTGCCACGGAATTATATTGATTGGCACTTCAATTGAACAGATGAGTACATGCAACTAAACGGAATCGCGATTTCTATACATATATCAAAAATATTTTAGTTATACTAAACTAACACGTCACTTATCTTGTCACATCACTAACTATCGCGTATCAGCGGATCGCCGCACAACGCAAATGTGAAGATGACGTCGCGAAGACGATCGAGAGACGTTTTCCGCGGACCTCCGGGCGCGCTTCGGACGGCATGTCGTTCAGACCTTTGCGTTGTTCGGGCTGTTAATAACGAGATCATAGCAAACGTGGCTCCACGAAAGTCTTCACAAATTTAGGTTTCTTTTACAAGGCTCGCGTTATGATTTAGTAGTTAATTTGCTTGCGGATTGCATGCCAGTGTACCGATCGCAGTGCAGGCACTGGGAGTATGAATGCAGAAGCCTACAATGCATTCCGATGGAATACTTTTGCGACGGCTATGTTCAGTGCAACGACGGTACTGACGAACGCTTCTGCCGCAACTTGCGATATCGCCAATTTCTTCAGAGACGACGCGGTTTGTTTTGAGATATATGTGTCGTGTGACGTCCCGTAGTGTCTCTACTTGTAGTAAACTGTCCTTTATATTCTCGCTTAATTGTTTGAGCCTATCGAGGAAGGGATACGAGCAAAGCTAATTGCAAACTCGAATAGTGGACGAGTGAGACGAAATGCTAAAATGTTGCGCGTTTTTAACCAGAAATATTTTTTCTTAAAGATTCGTATATTTACTCTCATTTAAGAATCCTTATTTATTTACTATATCATTTTAAAAAAATATATATAGGTCCCAGAACAATCTTCGAAGTATAGTACCTCTTGAGGTATAGTACTCTTTTAAAGTGAATCAGTGAATAGTCACTGATATCAGTTATAAGTATAACACTGAGCACTTTTAGTGCAACACTTATAACTGCAAATCAGTGTATATTCATTGTTTACACTGACTGACTTTAAGAGAGTACAGATTGAGATGAACATAAAAGTCTTACACCAGTTTGTGATTTTTATGTTTACCTTAATCCATACTGTACCTCCACAAGAGCTTCGAAGGTTGTTCTGGGACACCCTGTATATCAAGAATTTTAAGAATTCTCTCTTATGTATTTGCTTTTTTATATTATATTTTAATTTTTTTTTAATATTTCTCTCTTATATAAATCTTAATCCTTAATCTTAAATCTTAATTAAATTTTAGAGATTTTTAACTGATATAGATATCTTCTATAAAGGTATCTTTTTATAAACAACGCTAATATTGTCCATGAAACACGTATCCCATCCTTGTTAGCGTAAAATATATATTCGTGTATAAATGAACACCTATATAGTTACTTCAGATTTCGTAGTAGACGTTGTTAATGTCTTTGCAAATTCGACACTGTTCTCCGCGCATGTGTACCGAGCACTTCTCGCTAAAATGTAATTCTAGAGTAGCTCTCTGTATGGTATTCTCTTGCAACTCTTTCACGTGCTAGTATTGTCAGCAAAGATCGACCTTATGCAAAGTCTCCGCAACCTCATTATATTCGTTCGTTGATTTCGAAGTCTCGAATATATTTTAAATATAAAGAGCTCACAGAGATGCAAAAAAAGCACGACGAGTTGATCTCACGATTCATTCTGAGAATCGATAAAAGCTACGATATCTTGTCTCTAACATACACGCGATGACGGCGCGATTCATAGCGCAGAATAGGGTGATACATCTTCCTTTGCTAATTCGACAAGCAGTCATAAGCGTGCGACTGATACGATTAATTCGATTCTAGCTGCTGCCTCGCCGTTAGTAAGCGTCGAAGTATCCCAAGACCCGATAAACATCGGCGATACAGTCGATATACACTGTACGTGCATTGGAACACGCAATCCACGCTATCACTGGTCAAGACCGAACCATGCGAGATTGCCGCCAAATGCGCAAATATACGGCAACGTTCTGAGATTAACTAACATAGCCGTCGACGATAGTGGACTCTACAGGTGCACCGTGGACACGCCAGAGGGTGTATTGGAAAAGGATTTGAACCTAATTGTCCATGGTGAGTGTTTATAGAGTTGTTATTCTAAATTCAGTCTTTTTATAAAAAAACAGACACTCTACGAAAAAAGATTTGAATTTTCCAAAAATACACACTAATACGCAAATATCTAATTTTTTGTTAATGCTTGCGCGAATCACGTGTGTTTTACGTAAGTATACGATTGGCGAAAATAAGCAGTATGTCGTGAAAACGATCGACAGGTTTCACTTGTATAATTCCCTCGTCTTATTCAGGTGGGAACAACGATGAACCAGCGATTGAGACGAAATTCGCGCCGTACGGGTCGAGCCTGGAGATGGACTGTCGCATCGATCTCGATCCACCGATACAATTCCACTGGAACAAACTCGGTGGACTTTTGCCGCGAGATACTCAGACTTTGGAGGTACGCGAAATGCCTCTGTACCGTCGAGCGTCTATCGTCTCGAGGAAATACCGTTAGATATCATAATCAACTATCTGAGGTCTTGGAAAAATACACGTCATTTAATTGCGCAGAACAAATTGAAGCTAACTAACGTAAAGGCCGAGGATGCTGGAACATACATCTGCGTCGCGAATAACGGACACATGAACATCGAAGTGCCTACAGTGCTGGTGGTGACGGGAGTCGTGCCTAACTTCAGCCAAGCGCCCGAGAGCTACATTGCCTTGCCGCCTCTACCTGACTCCTATCTCAAGTTTAACATCGAGATCTCTTTCAAACCGGAGAGTAACGAGGGTATCCTCCTTTACAACGACGAATCCAGCAGTGAGAACGGCGATTTTATCGTTTTGTCTCTGATTAACGGATACCCGCAATTCAAGTAAGTGAGAAAACTCATAGGACGCGCCAGACGTCATAGACGCTTGATTTCAGGAGCGCGTAACTATTAAAAGCTTTGTATCCGCGTGTATTAACAACAACACCCCGACAGATTCAACCTAGGCTCTGGAGCAGCCGTCGTTCGCGCGGACAGACCCGTCACCCTGAGCGAGTGGCATACCATCAAGATCCAACGCAACCGAAAGGAGGGAACAATGGTGGTGGACGGCGAAGGTCCGTACAAGGTGGTTGCGATAGGCAGGCGTCAGGGTCTGGACTTGAAGGAGCCCCTTTACGTCGGCGGAATTCCCAGTTACAATAGAATCAACAAGGATGTCGAAATTAACTCTGGTTTCGTCGGCTGCATAAGCAGATTGATTCTCGGGGAGAAGCAGGTGGATCTGATCGGCAATCAGACCGACAGCGTGGGAATCACGAACTGCGAGACTTGCGCCGAAAATCCCTGCAACAACGGCGGCGTATGCCAGGAAACATCGACGAAGAACGGTTACACGTGCCTATGCCGAGCTGGTTTCAGTGGCAAACACTGCGACAATGTCGGGCAATCCTGTTACCCAGGTATGGACAATCATCTTAACCCCTCGATTTTGATTCGCGTGTGTGCATTACAATCGCGATAGATTTCAAATGCGATCGATTTTCAATTCCATTTTAATTCAATTTAACTCTGTAATTCAATGTCACTCGATTTAATTCAACCGTAGCTCAAGTTATTCTTATACTGAGAGAAAAATATCTAAAATTTCTCTAACTTGAAATGGCCGAGCGAGATAAAGGAAAAGCTACTTTGTTAAAGTGTTACACTAAGTCTAATAATTTCAGGTGCGTGCGGAGAAGGCAAGTGCGTCGATAAGGAAACCGGCTTCGATTGTTACTGCTCGTTAGGCAAGACAGGACCGCGATGTCAGCACTCGGTGAACGTCTACGACCCGGCCTTCCATGACGAGAAAGCTTTCATCGCGCACGAGACCCCAAAAGCTCTTAGACGGTGAGTACACTTGCTCGCTCACTCGCTCGATCAATCGAACGCACGCGCACGCATTATTCCCGATGGATCGCTCTCAGTAGATGTCACATGTATACACGAGGTCGTATCCATTACATTCGTTACACTCTGAGTTCCCTTAAATATGATTTGCACATACACGCGAGCATACGCAATCTACGAGAAACGGACAGACTTAAAGAAACTGTAGGACATTAGGCACAGGGTCTATACATTTTTTACGAAACACTCTAGTAGTTTTTCGAATAAAACTGATTGCGCATTGGAAGTGTAGATTCTCGAGTGACAAAATTAAGACACTTGGAAATGAATTTTGTAAAAATAACTATATTTCGCGCACTTTCCTCCGTGATTTCCGAGACACAAGGAAGTAAAACCATCTCCTGTCTGCGCGGGACTGTATAAAGAGAGAAAGAGAGAAAGGGAAAGAGCAAGAGATTCCCTGTAAAAAAAAAATTTTCACGCTTTTGACGAACTAACAGATTTGCCGATAATTGGAGTATAGGTATTTAACTCCGATGCGCCTAAACATCCTCAAGCATCCTAATCACTAAAATTCTTTTCAGGGAAAGAGAGAGTGCGACCACTACACACAGTCGATCACGATTACGCAACGCACAAATTAGGAACCCACGATCGAGGCCACATCACCACAATAATTTGCACCACACAAAACATTAGCTAGACTTAGCACCAATTTTACGCACTTAGAGAATCATTACTTATCTCCAATCACAGTAATAATAATAATAATAAACTTCTCTCTGTAGATCTAATAAACCTGTCCACGAGCTATTTAAAATTTTTTTTTAAGACACGTCTGTACGCCTCTTCGGGAAAGATCGATCAATTTGACTTGTTTTTCGTTCTTTTTTTACGAGACTTCTCACTGCCTTTTTTTATTTCTTTCTGTTTCTTTACTCTTCGTTTGGTACGTGTAGTGGCTATGTAAAACGAAAAGCAATAAGTTCTTAACAGGCGTCTATCGCAACGAGCCTGCGTAGTGCGTAGTTCCTTATAACGGACTTGCCATGGTGCTGTAATGTTATAGAACATCAGTCAATTTACGAATTAGTGATTAATGTTTTGTACAGCTTCTTAATTAATACACTTAACGCGTCACTTTAGTCATTATTAATTGTTAAAGATAATACGTGAAGTCACTGCCAAATCAATTGCATTTAACAGTAGTCCCTCTCAAGCTTAGAAAAACGTCAAAGTCGTAGTATCATACGCGTGTATATGACAGTTATATATGACAGCATGTAAAATGTTTGTACTTATGTCTATAAGAATCCATATATAAATATATATATATATATGTATATATATATATATATATATATATATATATATATATTTAAAAAGAGGAAAAAACACAAGATGTTTCACGTACGAATGATCGTTTATATACTCAGCGAACTCACGCTATGAATAAATATTTTTAAAGCAAATAAAATCTGATGTAACATACCGTGAACTCTAATTTAAGTTAACGTTTCACTCGGCCATAACCTTACGTGCCGTAAAATGCTAAAAAAAAATGTAAGAGAATGTACGAGAAGGTAAGTCTTTAAACAGGAACATTATATATACATATAATGTACTCATATATAATGTATAATGTATGCATATATATAACGTACTCCTATCTCGATAATATTGCTTGTATGATCTTTTTATATTTTATCGTACATTATATGTATGTGTGTATGTGTATGTACATGTGTGTATATTTGTGTGTATATATTTTTTTTAAATAACGCCACATCCATGTATATATATTAATTCCGCGGATTATAACAGACTTAACTTTCACCGCGTGAAATTGAAATGAATTTAATTAATACTTTTTTGTGAGAGAAATAAAACGTAACATAATGAAACGGTCACGCAAATAATTTCACGTAACACGTAAAAGAAAGCTAAAATAAAAGTGTGCGGAGCACGTTGAGTTTTATACTAAACAAATGAAAGAGAGAGAGAGAGAGAATAATTAACACGTGATACACATCGCTCGATGACCTTAACGAATGTGCGATAATTCTCCTCTTTTCTATACCTAATTTTAGGCTTAAGGTAGCCATGAGTTTTAACCCTACGGACACCGGGGACGGGATCTTGATGTATTGTTCTCAAAGTGACGAAGGCCTTGGAGATTTTGCAGCGCTAGTGATAAAGGACCAACACGTCGAGTTTCGCTTTGATATTGGCTCTGGGGAGGCGGTGATAAGGTCACCCTACACTGTCCAGCCCGGAGTGTGGACGTATGTAATGGTAAACCGAGATTTTAAGGAAGCGAAACTGTCGGTGAACAGCGAGCCGTTTGTGGAAGGCAAGGCGCCCGGAGCTTCGAGAACCATGACCCTGAATACTCCTCTCTATATCGGAGGGGTAGATCGCAGCAGGATCGTGGTGAACAAGGGAGCCGGCGTTGATCGAAACTTCCGTGGATGTATAAGCGAGGTAAAAGAATTATCAGCCACACAACAGCAAGATATAAAATTTCTTATGAACTCGGGACTGTCCATCTTTATTTTTAAATAGTAAATTTTGTGAAAAATCTAGAAGAACCTTTCTTCTTTTAGCGAAAGTGAATAAAAAATTGCCATATACCTCGTATTTACTATTGTCAATTTTGTAGTATCTTAATTAAATTTGGATATAATTTCCGTTAAACCCTTAGGAAAAATTACTTTAAGATGTTCAAATTAATCTAAAATTTCTTAGTTACTCAAAGTTATTTATAGTTAACTATAAGTAATTTTTACTTAACTACAAATAACATTAAATAACTTTAAGCAAATAACTTTAAGTTAATCTGAACAACTTCAAATAATTTTTCCTAAGGGTAACTCCCGGGAAAAAATTATTATGTGTAATAATTATATAAATGATAATTTATCTAATTGATATATATATATATATATATATATATATATATATATATATATATATATATATATGTGTGTGTGTGTAATTTATATAATATAATTATAATAATATGAAAAAATATGTATGGTCCTATATAGGGGCAAAATTCATGTGATCTTTTCTTCCCGGGTCAACAAAATGGAAATGAATGTAACCAAATAACGACAGTTCTGTCGTTAAATTCTCAAGTATAAATTCTAAAATATATATAATAATAATTATAATAATTCCATGCATTTTTAATCGCGATTGCGTACGATAAAAGAAGAACTTCTCGTCCAATCTCTACTTCTTAATTTGTATTTCAATTACGACAGCTCGAAATCTCATCAAACAGTGTGGATATACTACGATCGGCGACTGACTTGGCCAATATCGAGGACTGTTCAATGTCTCACTCGAATCAAACAATCGTCCACGCCACCGTCACCACCCTGACATCCACGCAACCACCAACGACATCGTACAATCCCTGCGCGTCGAATCCTTGCATCCACGGTGTGTGTCAAAGTTCAAACGCGTACGATTACTCGTGCACGTGCGAGTACGGATACGTGGGCAGAAATTGCGAGAACGTGCTGAAGCAGTGCGAACTGCTCACACCGTGCAGAAACGGCGGCACCTGCACTAATCTTCACGGATCTTACAAGTGCGACTGTCGGCTCGGTTACAACGGGCAAAACTGCGAGAAACGTGAGTATACCTTTTGCAATCAAATCGTAATTGACTGCAGATGCAACTTCCGCGAAAGAAAATGCTTACGATGCTCGAACAAGTCTGCCCCGTTATTTGAAAAATATAAATGATTAATTCGAGCAAACATAATTATAAGGGATCTTTCTCGATTTTGCAGTGGCGGAAATTACATACGACGTCGCGTTCAGGGGAGACGGCTGGTTAGAGTTGGACAGATCTGTCATGACACATGAAGAGGAACGAAGTGAGGTGTTGGGCTTCGAAATCAGCACCAACAGGAGCAACGGGCTCATCATGTGGCACGGGCAAACGCCAAACGATCTAACACCTGATGATTACATCGCCGTTGCCGTAGTGGACGGGTAAGCGCGGGTCTACAATAGATGTAATAAAACTTCGGTTTTATATCCTAAGGCCTAACGATAGATCGAGATAGAAAGTTTAACTTCGAGTTGTACATTACTCAAACTTCATTCACGTACATTTTGATAATGCAAAAGTAGAATTAGACGACGTGATAGAAGTCGAGAATAAAATATTGTCGACTTAAGTCGATTTAAGGAAGACATTCGATTTTCCAAGCTGCGAGTTTACCACGAATATTCGCTACTCCGCTCTGAAATTATTGAATCAGACTGATGAAGGCTAACACGATGTTATGCATCGTTATCTAGATACGTGGAGTATCAGTACAATTTGGGCTCCGGACCCGCCGTGATTCGCGTCACCGCTCAACGAGTCGACGACGGTGAGCGGCATCGAATAATCTTGAAGCGCCAAGGCAGCGATGGCAGCATCGAGCTGAACGGCGAACACACCGAGAGCGGCGTCAGCGACGGACTCCAGCAGATACTGAACACGCGAGGTAGCGTTTACCTGGGAGGTGTGCCGGACTATGCGATGACCTACGGCAGATACCACGACGGTTTCTCCGGTTGTATCTACACCTTGGAGGTGCAAGACTCAGGGGCTATCGATATCGGCGAGAAGGCCGTCCGGGGAATAAATGTCTCACCCTGCACCAGGTGAGACGCAAGTATAAAATAACGTAAAATAAAAAGAAATAATAAGGAAAAGTTTCTTGGAGTGATTGCGAATTTCGGATATGTACGAGTGACATTGCAATCTGGATTGAAGATTCGATGGTTCGCGCGCGTTTGAGGAAATTAGAAAAATAATTATATGGCGGTCGAACGACCAGAACACATCATATACGAGCGAAACTGTCTGTCACATTTCTATTTCACAAATCGATTACTACCCATAAACGACGCAATGAACGTCATACTCGGCACTGATTAAATTAATAACTGGAATACGAATCAGCAGTCCAGATATACGAACATTTACGGTTTTTCCAGTAAAACGACATTTCACATAACTAATCTCATTGGATGTGATTTCGCACGCTGCTCAGAGTGAGATGGATCCCATCTTCGTTAGTATTTACGGACGCAGACGCGGACGTGTTCGATGCGTTCGTGCCACCACCGCCTGTGAATATTATTCATCCGAAGCCCGCGGCCAATCTGGCCGCGTACGACATCACGAGTTATTCGTTGTTGATTATACTTCAAAATTTGATCGCTTTAACTAGAGACATTAAGGAACAAAGTGTACTTTTCACGCTGTTGTGCGTAGACGCGGTTAACGTTCTCAAAGGCTTATTAAGCTAAACGGAGTATTATATATCGGAATGTATTTATCAATCTCGCTCGTCGGGAGTGCACACACTTCTTTAGACTAGGCTCGCTATTCATCAGGAAACGCGAAGATGTACAGTGCTCGGAGAAGTGTGCATTTCCGCGAGTTTGCATACGACATGTACAGCAATAGATTTGTAAATTATATTTAACGCTTGACGGACATCGCGGAGGTAACGCGGCGGGACTACGGTATGTCATTCTCAGGTCACACTTCAACATCATTCATCATCATTAAGCACTCATCTTTATGCACTTTTATTTTGCAGCGATCGAACTGATAGACTTCCAACACGTGGTGACCTGCGCGGATACTAAGAGAAAGAGATCTGCATTGTATATTCAAGAAACGTACTGCGACTTTGTATTACATTGTCGAGCGACAACACCGTTTCCACGTAAAAACGTTGAATCTTAAGCCAAGTGTATCCGTTAAATTTTTTCATACATAACTAATGTGTTTTGTGGAAAACGTTCTAAGTATAAAGGATCAAAAGCAAACGTAATATTAAGCTAATCAAACGTCGTCCCGGCATTGCACGACCTAAAGGGCGCAACTTCTCAATTGCGATACAAAAATAATTTGTTTGCCCACGGGACATCTCGCGAAAATCGAAAAACGTGCGTAAAAAACGTATTTAACATGTATTTATCTCCCCGATTCCACAGTTTATCATGAACGAGATGAAGTGTGTGAAAGATAGGAAAGTGACTAACGCTTAACGCGTCATATGTAAACAGTTTTATATCCGTAGTTACATACAGAGTCTATATCTCTTGCACTCATATATTGCCATCGAGATATTTTATAATTAACGTGACTTTTTATATCGCTTTTATTTGTACGAGAAGAAAAATATACGTTCGATTCGTGCATATAACGAACCGCTGTTTCAGAAACAGCAGAAAGTTTATGCATTTAGAGAATGATTTAGAAAATTGTTCTGGAAATATTAGTTACGATGTACATGTGACAGATATCACGCGTTGAATTTTCCAATTCTCACGTTTTTCCCCGTTAATAATATTACTCTTTATGTTTCTTTCTCTCTCTTTAGTCGGGTTTTCTCGCAACGTCTTACTTTTGCGAGTCAGCTGTACTACTACGAACAGCTGATAAGATGACTGATGAAAGAAACGAAAACGAAAACGCATTAATGATGAAGCGTATATAGTCTATAATTTTTCACTGCCATATACTCTGATTTGTTCATATTTTTGATGGGATAAAGCAGGTTTTTGCCGGCGACGTCGTATAGAGATAATAAATATTATTCACTAGCGTATGAGTGTAATCAAAGTTCTAATGAGATCTCGATATATAATCTCTCCTTACCGAAAAGACAATAAATTCTCTCGACCGCAGCACAAGCATTTCGTTGGGGAAACAATAAAAGACTTTTTCTACGCGATATTAGGTGTCGAATTTTTACATTTTGAAAAGAGCAAACATTTATATATTTATAACGCGAAATATATAAGCTGCGCGAACGTGTTAATTTCCATTGATGTTAAATATTATAGACCGTCGTAAAAGATAAAATTCTCAGAACAGAGAACATACACATCAATAATCAAATGGAGAATTAATAAATGTTACAATTCTCCAAATCCAGATTGCACTCATACCTTGATGAATACTTATCATTTATTTTATACAGAGTATCCTAGAATTACAGGTAAAGACTTGACTGGTTAATAAAATGCAAACAAAAAACAAACATAAATGTCTTAGGTATGCAAATCAGTCATTTTCGACATATCTAATTTTCCATTTTATAAGCTAAATTCTGTGAACAATACATACTGTGAAATTATTAATATCTCAACAAATTAAAAATGTCAACGATATTCGCATAGTTTAATATGAACATGTTCGCAATTTTTAAATACTGTCTTTTTTTTTAACAATTTTATTTTTTGAAACAAATTATATTACTTTAAAGAGACATGAAAACTGGAATAATCTATCATTATATTTTTTTATTGCATTTTATACACTAAAAAGAAAAAATTAATGTTTTGCAATATTACGATTCAAACTAAAATTCACCAATTCTCATTTATATTCACACTTCAGCATCATTGATATATTCTACCCGAATAATCTAATTTTACAAATTAATTCTTATTCCGAAGAAAAATAACCCGTAAGACGACTGCAATCAAACATCGTGAAATTCAAGTCAGAAAATTCCCGGAAATTCAACAGAATCTCATTCGCGATGAAATCGGGCTTCGCACATCCATATATAACGTGCATGTCCGTCGTATTCTAAATAATTTTGATACTTACTTAAGTCTTTATCCTTAATTCTAAAATGCCCTGTATATGCAGGTGCTTACATGCAATTTTTAATAAACAGATAATCAAGGGTCGATAAGTAAGTGATAAGTAATAAATGAGTATAATTGATCATAGCAACAACATCGAACGATCGTATGTACTTTTTCATTCGAATCAGTCGGAAAAACAAACGAAGAAAGTCACGTATAAAAGAATTGCGCTACGTAAGAAGAATTGGTGCTAGAGAAAAATACGCGATGCTACTTACACGAAAAATTCATATCAAATATATTATGGAAAATGTATGTGTATACACAAGTGAGCAGTAATCTGCGCTCTCTAATATTCTCTACATTGGTGATTTCATGAAAGTAAAACGTACAAGGATTGAAAGTAATAAGGATCATTGTTCGTCCGTTAAGATCATATGAATACAATCAGGACATTATCCAGGATAAAACAATTGAAATACAATAATTTACGTTATCGCTTATACAAAAATAAATCATTTAAATGAGTCTCCATGTACCCTTATAAAAATATCATACTAAGAATCATTGATAATTACTTATTTTCAGTATTAAAAATACTGGATAATAAGTAATTATCAATGATTCTTAGTATGATATTTCTATAAGGGTATTAAACGGCACAAACGTGATTTATATCTCCCACTCTGAAATACTGTTTTCAATTAAACATATTTTTCTTACGTAACTTTATATAACCATTTTATGGTTTCTGACGAAAATTGGAGAAGATCCTTAATACATCCCAATTATGAGACACGAAATATAAAACAGATCTGCCTCGAATGCACATTGACATCAGATCGTGTCTCTCCTACGTTTTTTTCTACAACAATTATTTCATCAGCAGGTATCTTCTAATGTGTAATAGATAAATTACTTTTTACGATCTTACTGTTCAATACGTTGTGCGGCAGAGTGCCTATTAGCGATATTAACTCTTAATTAACGTATCTTTTAATATAAATACGAAATATGTCAAATTATCAACTAATGATATATTACATGTAATGAAATAAGAAGTATCATTTAACGAGATTTTCTTTGTCTTTAAAATTCATTGCGAGACAAAATACCAACGTGAAATAATGTATCATAGATCTTGTGAAATTTTCTATATCCGTTACGGCTCTACTAACATATTGTAAATGATCATGTACAGAAAACACACACATATATATACACATATATATGTGCTTGTATATTATTATACTCTAACACTTTAATCATATACCAACATCGAATGAATGCTTTTGGATGTTCATGCAAACGTTAATTATGTAATATCGCATATTGCATTACATGTATGCATATTGCATTATATATGTATAGGATGAAATAACAAATATAAATTGCAATAGCTTCTTTACGCAATTACGATGTCAGGATATAAATAATGGCGATGCTATCCAGACATCTCAACTAGATATGGATTTTAAGGTATAGCAATTGTTCCATCCTATACATATAAAATCATACTGAAAGTATCTACGATAACATAAAAATGTAGTCTATTGTTACACAATAATTCTTCAAAGAAAATGAGACAATAAATATAATTTTGCTAACGAGCTGTGTATTTCGGCTGTTTCATCATATATATAAACACTTTATTAAGCCCTTATAGAAATATCATACTAAGAATCATTGATAATTACTTATTTTCAATATTAAAAATACTGGATAATAAGTAATTATCAATGATTCTTAGTATGATATTTCTATAAGGGAGGTACAACATCTCTAGAAACTTGCCTGTTCTTTCGACTACGTCAAACTTATTCGTAGTGCCAAAAATTTACAAAAAATAAGTTGAATATTAAACAGAAAAGCTTTATTACGCAACTTCACCATACTTACTACAACAGCCCATACAGCACAAATCTTCAAAGAACGTCCTAAGGATGTTCTAAGGACATTCATACATTCTAAGAACGTCTCAGAACATTCTCTGAAGATTTTGTGCTGTCTGGGAGATTGCTAGTTTGTACAATCATATATATGAAAATTGTTTAATAATATATTAAACTCAAGATTGTTTAATAATATATTAAACTCAAGATTTTTTCCATAAATAAAAGTTTATAACTTTTTCGATACTGTGAATTCTGGCCAAAAAAACGACCATTCTGCGACGACAATCACAGTCGCATGTAGCGGAAAGGTTGAAAATTAGACTTATGACAGTACAAAAAATATGTAAATTGACAAAGATTAAATAAATACAGGTATAAAAAAAATATTTATAATTTAAATAGAGAATTAATCTGTCAAATTTAAACTATTACAAACACATACAAAGCGTTTTCTTTTTTGTCAAAACAAATTTGACAATATGAAATCACACCCCATATAGCACAAATCTCTAAAAGACTTCTTAAAGAATTCTAAAAGTGTTCTGGGGGTCAATTGTGTATCTTAAATCGGAGTGAAAATGACAAAAGTGAGCAAATTCCTTTATAGAAATATCATATTAAGAATCATTGATAATTACTTATTTTCAGTATTAAAAATACTGGGTAATAAATAATTATCAATGATTCTTGTATAGTATGATATGTATATCTTGATAGTATGATATTTCTATAAGGGTTTACTAGCATATTTGTAACTTTTTTGGACAATGCCTAGTGAATTTGCTCACTTTTGTAATTTTTATTCCGTTTCGAGATACACAATCGACCTCCTGAAGGACTTGGGAACTCTTTTGGAACTCTTTAAGAAGTCTTTTAGATATTTGTACTATATTGGACTGACATTGGATGCTATAAATTATTCTAAAATAAATGGAAGTCCAGTTCTTATATTTATGACAATATATGAAAAGAAAAAATCACGCGCGTATATTAAAAAAAAACATTAGTTTGTGATACACATGTGGTCAGTTCTTTTCAGCTGCACTGCTGAACTGGTGCAATAAGTTAAAGTGAGACAAATATATGTTTTCTTACTCTAACTTATTGCACCAGTTCAGCAGTGCAGCTGAAAAGAATAGACCAATGGACAGTGTTTCATTTACGAGAATATAGGCATAGTACGAACACGCACTAAACGAAGGCTTTATCGACAGTGTCAGAAAATAAACGTAGCAAACGTAGTTCCAACTTAGAAATGGACGTAGATGGCGCATCAAACAGTGACGTAAAGCGGTATCAAAATGCCGGTGCGGTCACTCACAGACTTCTCTCTGATACAGTGTGTGGTACTTCTTTCATGCTGGCTTATTCTTGTTAATATTTGCGATTGTATGATGTGATACATGTGCATTGCTGAACAAAAACTAAGAAGAAGCTATTATTTTTACTATAACAACATTGAACAAAGTAATTTATTTAAAAAAAATAGAATGATATTACGTTCCTGACGGGACGAAAATCTATAAGAAAAGTACCGAAGGACTCGTCAAGAAAATGCTTTGTCGCGATGGAATGATTAGTTTGATTTGTTTTATCGTGGCTAGTTTAGTCTCACTTCTTCCTGAAATTTTATCAAAACTAGGACTCGATATTTACGCTTCATACTTTACAAGTGTCTGGCTGTTATATGCCGTGCAATATATTGTTATAAATATATTGATATTTCTGATATTCCGTGATTTTGCATATCAAGTTAGTATATTATATATTCATCTCTCATTGTCACATATATTGTACTTACAATTTTTTATTCAAAATATTCCTTTCTTTTTCAAGGTGGCAGTCCGAGCACTGTTCCTTGGATATATATTTGGCATTGGTATTTTGGTATCAATCACTGCCCCATTATCATGGCAGACATTTGGCATTTATATGGCAGTATTAGCAACTTTTCATTATTCAGAATTTTTGGCTATAGCATGGGCAAATCCTGCTACTTTGTCAATTGATAGTTTTATCCTTAATCATAGTATAATATATGGTGTAGCTGCATCTATCAGTTGGTTAGAATTCCTTGTAGAAAGGTACTATTTCCACAATATGAAATTACCTTCAGCTATATCCTATTTTGGCCTAATATTATGTATCACTGGGGAAATACTGAGGAAACTGGCAATGTGTACTGCAAAGCACAATTTTAATCATTATGTGCAAAGTGAAAAGAGTGACAATCATGAACTTGTCACTCATGGTGTATATAGCCTATGCAGGCATCCCAGTTATGTAGGATGGTTTTATTGGTCTGTTGGAACACAGGTAAAAATTAAAAATTTCCTATAGTAAAGTGGGAAGTACGCACTTTTCCATAAAAACATAAGAAAATTCATCAATTAGAGTCCTTCATTTTCATCGTGACAATAGAAATGAGAACTTTAATTGGTTGATTTCGTTATGCATTATGTCTTCATGTAAAAGTATGTGTTTCCTGCTTAAATCTCTTAATATATTGCAGACTATATGACATTAATCATGTAAATGTTTATTTCTATGCATTTTCAAAACACTTTAAATTGTATATATATTAATTTTAAAAAAAATATAAACTTATTGTTATATTTTATTCAAAATTGAAACATGCAGTTAATGAATACATTAGTAATATTTTTAATATATTATTCATTGAAACATTCATGTCTGTTTTTCAATGCTTTAAAAGGTAAAGACATTGACTTATGTCTCTGTTCTGCAATATGTTAACCTTTATTTTTATGAAATATTTCATCAATATTTCTAAATTCTTGCAATTCTTATTGCAGTTAATACTTCAAAATCCACTATGCTTTATCGCATATGCATGGATGTCATGGAACTTCTTCCATGATCGTGTTGTGATGGAAGAAATAACTTTATTCCATTTCTTCGGCGAAGACTATGCTGAATATCAGAAAAAAGTAGGAACTGGACTTCCATTTATTTCTGGATATAAAGTTGATTTATAGCATCCAACATTAGTGTAACCCTATATTGTTAAATTTGTTCTAAAAAAGAGAAAATGCTTTGTGTATGTGTCTATAATAACTTAAATTTAACAGATTAACTTTTTATTCAAATTAGAAAAACTTTTTTATATGTATATTTATTTAATCTTTGCCAATTTACATATTTTTTGTACTGACTAGTCATAAGTCTAATCTTCTTCAACGACACGCGACTATCGCCGCCGCAGAACAAACGACACTTTTTGATCAGAGTTTGCCATAACAAAAGGGTTACAAACTTTTGTTTATGAAAAAATCTCAGGTTTAATATATTACTAAATGATTTTAACATGCATGGTTGTACAAACTAGTAATATGTAAATATTGTAAAGTTGTGTAATAAAGTTCTTTTTGTTTAATATTCTATTTATTTATTGATACTGTGAATTTTTGATACTGGCAATAAGCCTAAATTTAAATTGGAACATGCAAGTTTTCAGAAACATATTTTGGTAAAGTATTTACAATGAAACAGCTGAAATATACAGCTTGTTGGCCAAATTACATTTATTCTAACATTTTTTTATTATTATGTAACAATAGACTATATTTTTATGTTATCGTAAATATTTTCAGTATAATTTTATACATTGAGAAAAAAAGCAGTTGGATTGACAAAATCGACGATCACCGGCCATCAAAGAAATATTGCACCAGTGCAGCTACAAAGAACAGGCGTAAAGAAATATTGAATCTATTCAACAAAATACAATGTTAATGCAACAATAAGTTGCATTGAAATCACTATATCAATTCAACTTATTGTTGCATTAACATTGTATTTTGTTAAATAGATCCAATATTTCTTTATGCCTGTTCTTTGTAGCTGCACTGGTGCGATACATTGAAGTAAGACAAATATAAGTTTTCTCACTCTAACTTTTTTTGTACTAGTTCAGCAGTGCAGCTACAGAGAACAGGCCTTTCGATGGCCAGTAACCGCCGACTTTGTCAATCCACCACTTTTTCTTTCATTGTATGTATTGCTCAATTTCGACGGTTTTCTCACGATATTTTGTCACAAAAGGATGAACGAAACTTACGACACTCCCGGCGACGATAATTCGAGCGTGGGACACATCTTCTGCAGTTGAAATCATAAATACGAAACCTCTCTTCAAATCCGTGTTAACACGTCGCGACCAGCTTTATTGAAGTGAACTTCACCGCGATTGAGTTTCTCGAAATTTCATAACTGCGAGATAACGATATATTCACGAGGTATCGATATCTTCACGAAGTATCGCTATGTTCACGAACTATCGATATGCTCATTTGTATTTACGATTAAAATTAAAGTAAATTGAATATAAATACGATTGTTGACTTTCACAGACAAGAGTCTGATATTAGTAAACTCGCTAGAGTGACTGGAAAAAAATAGGAATTTAGACGTAACAAGAACACGTAGACAAAGGTATGTGCAGACGTTTTTTATTACACTTTGTAAACAAGTAATTAGTATTTTTATAATAATAATAGAAATGATAAAAACAATTCACTTTTTAAATAACTAATCTCTTTTATCTCTTTTATAATAATGATAAACAATAGAAATATTAAAATAAAAGACACGATAATGAATCTTGCAATAATGCGACACATCATTATTAATAAATAATATAAATAATTTTTACAGTAGAAGATCCAATAAAAATATAAATTTTTTACACCTTATAAGAATTTACCAGTATATATAAAAGATATGGAAATTCTATTGTCTGAATACATGGACATTTTAAGAAGATTAACGTACTCGTTATTATTTCTTATAATATTCTACAGTATCTCTAAAATAGTCTCTAATCAAGTTAATGAAGAATTAATTCTTATATTACTAATATTAAAAGCATTGTTCCTGATAATACATATTATAATCCTGCCAAATTTGTAAGTTTATCTCCTTCAATATTTATATTTGTGTATATGTTAAAACATAATTAATATGAAAATTTTTATAAAATCTTAGGTCTTCTATAATTTTATTAATTTATATACAAAGTGTTTCAATTTTTTTTAATGTTTGAGCGCTCAGGTACAGAAACTCGTTAAACTGTGTGTTTGTGTGAATAAAAAAATCCTTTATCATTTTATAAACAATCATAGTAATTATTCAGATATTAACAAAAAAAATTGACGAATAAATACGTGTAATACGATAAAACGATCAATTTTCTTTTTTTCATTAATCTCAATAATTTCTGCAATGTAAAAAATGATAAAAATTTTTTCTATTCAGTTTAACAAGTTCTACCTGTGAGCGCTTCGAGACTTAAATCTACAATACATTTTATATATAGAAGATATTTTAATCAACGCACTTCTCAATCTCTTCTCTCAGTACTTTTATATGCAGAGTGTGACCTGAGGGAAATTGGTTTATATTAAAAGATTATATTCTATTCTATTTAAAAATTTATATATATATATATACACTATTAATTATAAATTATTTCTCTTTCTCTCTTCTCAATACTAGTATCAATTTTGGTAATAAGGCACCTAATGAGGAACCTAACTTCTTTGAGAATTCCTTTGATACAAAAAACAGGTAAAACGAGCGTGAAAACTAATACTTTTCTATATAGACAGGTTAATCTCATTTATCAAGTAAAAATTTTACTTATCAATAAATAAATATATAAATTATTAATGTTTTTTAATAACAGCTGTGTCCACCCTGATAAGGGTTTCATTGAACCAGGACACAATGAGCAAAATGTATATAGATTCTTGATAAATTAGAGAACTATTAAATATGTTAGTAAAATCTTCTTAAATCTACAATACATTTTATATGTAGAAGATATTTTAATCAATGCACTTCTCAATCTCTTCTCTCAGCACTTTTATGTGCAGAGTGTGACCTGAGGGAAATTGGTTTATATTAAAAGATTATATTCTATTCTATTTAAAAATTTATATATATATATATATATATATATATATATATATATATATATACTATTAATTATAAATTATTTCTGTTTCTCTTTTCTCAATACTAGTACCAATTCTGGTAATGAAACATCTAATGAGGAATCTAACGAGAATTTCTTTGATGCAGTAAACAGGTAAAACGAGTGCGAAAATCAACTAATATCTTTCCATATAGAAAGGTTAATCTCATTTATCAAGTAAAAATTTTACTTGTCAATAAATAAATATATAAATTATTAATGTTTTTTAATAACAGCTGTGTCCACCCTGATAATGGTTTCATTGAACCAGGACACAATGAGCAAAATGTATATAGATTCTTGATAAATTAGAGAACTTAAATATGTTAGTAAAATCTTCTTAAATCTGCAATACATTTCATATGTAGAAGATTTTTTAATCAATGCACTTCTCAATCTCTTCTCTCAGTACTTTTATGTGCAGAGTGTGACCTGAGGGGAATCGGTTTATATTAAAAGATTATATTATATTCTATTTAAAAATTTATATATATATATATATATATATATATATATATATATATATACTACTACTAATTATAAATTATTTCTGTTTCTCTTTTCTCAATACTAGTACCGATTCTGGTAATGAGGCATCTAATGAGGAACCTAACGAGAACTTCTTTGGTGCAGTACACAGGTAAAACGAGCGTGAAAACCAACTAATACCTTTCCATATAGAAAGATTAATCTCATTTATCAAGTAAAAATTTTACTTATCAATAAATAAATATATAAATTATGAATGTTTTTTAATAACAGCTGTGTCCTCCCTGATAAGAGTTTCTTTGAACCAGGACACAATGAGCAAAATGTATATAGATTCTTGATAAATTAGAGAACTATTAAATATGTTAGTAAAATCTTCTTTATCAATTCAACAATTTTAAATAATTTGTTTGCAGAACATTCAACTTTCTATATTTAAGTTTCACAATTAATATAATTACATATAATTAAATTTATTACATAAAATATGGTTAATATTATTACATAATTTATTACACATGAATTTCTATTAATTCACGTAAATTATTAGTAGTTATTAATTGTTAAATATAGAATGGAAAACATAGAAAATGAAAATCATTTTCGGGTTCAAGAACTATAACTGCAAATTATAAGAAGTTCTAAAATAACATTTCGGATATACTACCAAATGTACGAGGTAAATAAAACAGATAGAGCACAAGACGTCCTAGAATTATTCTATGTCCAAGTTGTCCATGAGAATGCCCTAGAACGTCTTGAGTATATCCAGAATAATCTCAAAACGTATTGTGCTATTTGGAAAAAGTAAGAAAAAACGTCAAGTACATATAGACGCGAAAAAGATGAGATGATAAAAATATTCAATTAAAGTATATTTGATAATTATATCAAATATGACTTAATTGAAACATTTTTGTCTGTTAAATGATATTTATTATTAATAATTAGTGCAAATTATGAACTACAAAATTTATTAATATATGAATTATTATTAATTATTAACTTTTTTCTGCAGATATGGTAGTGTGGTATGTTATTTACACAATTAGTTGACGATATCATTATGTGATTATAAGATGGAGCAAATTTTAATACAATAAAAGTATTAAAACGTATTAAATAAGCTTAATATTCAATTTCAAGTTTGATGCATATCAGAGCATATCGAAAAATATAAATATTTAGTAAGAAATTTGTTATTAGAGGATATCTTAACAAACAATTTTAAAGTTATATATTATCATATTCGAATTTTTTATAATAATTAGACTATATAACGAAAAAAATTTTATAAATATTAATTGAAAATTAATTGTATATTAAATTTGGAAACATTTGCTGTGTTAATAAATTAATTCTTTACAGTCCGAATTGTTTTCGATTTTTCTTGTCAGCTGATTTGTACCCAGTGAACACAACGTTACATATAACATACAAATTAGTTGTAATTTCCTACTCAACAATGTAACTGTTATATAACACGTATGTTATATAACAGTTACTACATTGTTGAATAGAAAATTATAACTAACATATATGTTACATGTAACATTGTGTTCACTGGGTAGAAATTTATTAAATATTTAAAATTTAACTTAAATTTGTAGATACAGAGTAATATATTTATACTGACTATATTATTATGATTAAAAAAATTGATTTATATAAAATCTACTAAAACAAAGTGTAATGTCGAAATAAACTTAACATAGGACTGTAAAGGATTAAAGAACAAAAATTAACGTTTCCGAAAGATTAATTTTTCTTATTTTCTTATACTTCTATATATAAAAATATTGAAATTTTTGGCATTCACGTAATGTTATACAATTTATATTAATTGTGTTACATTTTACCATTATATGTTAGTATAAACACATGACTATATATGTATATATATGTTCAATACATATGTATAACATTAACGGATAAATTAAAAAAAAGTGTAGAAAAATAAATATATATAAATTATTTATATTATAGTATATGATTTTATATATATATATATATATATATATAAATATATATGTATGTATACATGTGTGTGTGTATATATGTGTATATATATATATATATATATACATATATATATATATATATATTATATAATTATATTATATATAGTGATATATATACATATATATACACAATACATTAAAATGTATATATTGTGAATGCCACTGTTTTAAATGTAACCCAGATAGCCAAGTGTGATTGAGCACAATGGAATTTCAAGAACAAAACGGTTAATAGCAAACTCACATACAGTTGGCTATCTGGGTAATAAATACTTTATTATGTATGTGTACAAATTGTAACTCAAATTAATAATTATTAAAATATTAAATACACAATTGTGTAAACAAGAATGTAAAAATGAATGAAATTAATAAAGAACGACAATTATATTTTATGCTACTAAACCGCCAGTTATTAAAAACATTATAAAATTAATTATCAATTAGCAATGTTACAAATAATATACAGATATAGCGCATCTATCATCAATCAATCGGTCAATTCAATCGATTGAAAATTATTTTTTACACAAATACACCAATATATTTGGTCTGCAATTCCCTTTTTTTAAGTGTACAATACATATCAATATTTTATTAGAATATTCGCGTAGCGGATAATATAGGTGATAATGCAATACACGTTTTGCAAACACTATTTACTTCTACTATTTATTTATTTTTATTTTATATTTTAACTGTAATAACAATTATTCTACTTGCATAATTTCCGACTGATACGATGGTCGTGTAAACAATAATGGTTCGTAAGTCCATTTTGGAAATATTCGTTTGTATAAATTCATTAAAATTGTATCTTGCGATTTTAATTGTCCACTGAACACACACTTCATGTGTCCATGTGTACCTGTAAGAAATCGTAAAAATATTAAACATCGCTGAAGACAAAGTACAAATCACATATGTACAAAAAGTAGTGGTTTAGAAATATGCGATTTACCAAGAGGTTCTTTTATATGACCCCTGCGTCCATATTTTGTCCTCAATTCGACAGGTTTAAACCACTCGATATCCTCGCGATAAAAGAACATGAAACGTACAACTGCCGATCTTTTGTTCACTTTATACGGATGACCGCTTAAAACGGCTCGTTTCACAACAATTCTGTCGGGATTACAAGACAGTACACTTCCGGTTGCAAGTAATTCCTTATAGAAAAAAAGAACATTATATTAATATCGTTCGAACCTAACACAAGAATCTCACATTAGTCTTGTACAATAACTTTAGTATGATACTAATAATATCAGTGAAAACAACGTACGAGCTTGCCGTTTTTATTTTCAATGTAGCAAAGAGTTGGGCATGGTGGAAATGTAATTGGTGCGTACATACTCGCCACAATGGTACTTTCGGGATGGAAGTACCTCTCGTACTAAAACATATTTATTACGGTAAAATCTTTAAACGCTATATATATATATTCTCGACCTAGTATATAAAATATATTTTGTAATAGCAAACAAAATAATTCTATTAATTTACCTTGTGTTTAGTACCGTTCGTATGTTGGCTAAATATTGGGCACGCCACAAATCTCCTAAATCCGCATTGAAAAACCAATCTATCCTTCGACTTAACCGTCTGTACATAATTATTTGAATGCTTCAACACTATATTCAGAAGGGACATTTTGTTTTCATACGGAAGTAAACCAAATATCACTAATGGTTGATTTTCCACCGTAGTAAATGCCTTAAAAATTTCACTGCTAACGCGAAGAATATCCATTGTTATGTAACAGCCCGGCTGAAATCATAAGTCGAAAATTATATGATTTTAAAAGAAAAGATTTTATCTGTTAATATAAAATGTAATGAAAGAATTTTTATAATATACGTACCTGAGCACCTTCATTAATATTATCGCGTTCTTTGTATACACGTTTCCGCGTGCGATCGAAATTTTCAAATTGAAATATTCGAGCATAATCGGCGGGAAGATTTTCTTTCGGATCCCACGGACTAGTACGAAACGATTCAAGTCCGCGATATTTCTGAAATCTCGTTTTAGCTAATATATCTTGAGGTGTATCCATTTCATCAGGAAACTGGGCATCCAATTTTGCTTCTAGATGTTATTATAAGGTTATTAAAATAATAATATGAAGTATTATAAAAACATGGGAAAGTTATATACAAATAAATAAATATATATATATATATATATATATATATATATATATATATATATATATATATGTGCTAACCTTTCAATTTCTCTATAGCTTGTTTCTCTTCCAGCATATCAATATCTTTATCGTAACGTTCTTCATCCATCGGTGCTTCCGATATCGTAATAGTTTCATATTCTTCATTGTCTTCTATATTTTTATCATTATCTGTATCTACAGACTTTGCTTCTTCTGCAGACATATAGTCTTCGGACTCATTGTCAGAATCAGCGCTAAAAGTCTCTGAAAAGAAAAAAAAGAATTTTGAGAAAAAGGATGAGAATTTTCAATGGAAAAGAAAGGAAGAGGAAATACATGTAATACCTGCATCTTCATCCGGTATCCAGGCAGCTTGGTATTCAGAAGTACCTTTTGGTACAATTTTTACAATTTTTTTCTTTATTTTAGCTGCTGCTTCAGCCAACTCTTCCTCCGTAGGCCACGTTTGTTCAGCATCCATTGGATCAGGAATATTTTCACTTTCAAGAGATTCCTAAAAATTGTATGCATTCCAGGTATATGCAACATTCACAAGTATTATCGCTGTTCTTGATAAACCGTATATAAATGAATTATCAAGATCATAAAAAAATATATAAAAACCTGTTTATTAGGGTCTGCATATTGTACACCTTGCATACATGTCTCTATAGGCATATCCATCTTGGACATTTTAGGGTAGTTTTTATGTTCGAAAAATTCAATTGGATGTGGATATTTATGATACTTAATACAGTTCATCTGAAAGTCTCCAAAGCCTGGTATATGAACCAAACTATTCACCGAAAGTCGTGAACCCCGTACATGTCCAGTCACTGAGAGAGTCCCAAAATCAGAATCCTTATTAAATAAGAATTATTATTAAGTGGCATGTTACACACTATTATATAAAAGTATTATTTAAAATATAATAATTCAACATACTCCATCACACTTAAAAGACAATTTTTCAGCCAGAAGGTGTGGCCTTTTATTTCTATAAAATATACTTCTTTCTTTCTGTGATCCAGCACGACGTAATATATTTATACAATCAGCTGCAGTATCAAGTTCAAACACTTTTTCTTCAGGAATCCATTTTGAGACCATACTTTGCAGAAATTGTTTATATTCTTGACGTTTCTATTATACCATTTGAAACACAGATTTAATAAGAACAAGCAACTGATTTTTATAAAGTAGATCACATATTCCATATAATTTATAAATTAATAGATATAGAATAAACTGAATAATTCAGTATTCTCTTATGATTCAAACAAACTACTACTCACTTTAATATGAAGTTTTTTTATATTATGCACTGCAAAAATAGTAGCAGGTAAACCTTGCGCAAGACAAGATATAATAATTTCTTTGCCCCAATCGTCTATAGCTTCTCTCTTTGTATCATTTGTCTCACTTGTAACAGAGGTTACAAAAAGTATTGTGTTAGCTACTTTGGCTGCATCCAAAGTAGCAAGAACATTACCCATTGGTGGTACAATGATGGAAAATCGCTGTTTGAACTTTGTACTATATATGTAATTGAAAGATTAGTAAATATTTAGTTTCTAATTTAGTTTTCTAATAATATAAATAAATTTTTGCAATGTACCATATATGCATTATTCCACATGAATTAATAACAATATTATCAATTTCTTCCATGCTTTTTATGGTGGATATTATATCATTAACATCTGTGTTACTATGTAATGATATGATAGAGATAAGATGAGGTAAACTAGATCCACTAAGTTTTCTTTTTTGTATTAATATTTCCTCACGTTTCTTCTTCCTAATTTGCGACAACTGGTGTCTACGTGCATCCTTTCCTAGATTCTTCTTCAAATGTTTTGATAACATCTTGACAACATTTTGTTTACCTGCAATAATAAAATTGTGCAGAATCACATACAAGATAGAAATATGTTTTAAAATATTGATTTATTTATAGTGTTCTTGTGAAGAAAATCTTATGTTATTAATTAAATAAACCGAAAACGATAATTATCATTTTATACTATAAAATTTGCTGTAATTTAATGTTTAACAAAAAAATCAATTTACCTTTTTGTTCATTATTAATAGCACTTTTGCTACGATGCCTTCCAGTCTTGTGCTGCTTATTAGTTTGTTTAAGCGCACCTGGACGATGTGTTTCTTGTTTTGTTGCGCCCATTATGTGATAAATTTATAACATAGCTATCCAGAACAAATGTTATTAATGATATGAATAAAAACGCATATGCAAACCACGTGCACTTTACAGTGCTGAAATATACTAAAGTAAAGATGGGCAATGTTCCCAAAGTGGATTTAATTGATATGTTTTACTTCTACTTCTTCAGAGGGCGTGTTTTAAAAAAGTGGCCTAGAGATCCTCAAATAGAGACTGGCCATTAGCCCGAAAAATGGCGGCGATAAATATGTGCGAGCTAGTGAGTGAATACGTAATATATTAAATGTGTGCGTGTGTATCAATCTAATAGCATGTTCGACTGGCTCTGGGTTAACCCATTCTGGGTTATTCAGTCTACGTTTATTGGTCGAACAGATACTTATAAGCTTTATGATTAGCTAGTAGAGACTTATGACGTCATTAATCGCTCTCGGAGCGATTAACCCAGGGCCAGTCGAACACGCTATAAGGTTCGATTCTTGACATATACGAATGAGATACGCATGCGAAAATGTATAGTTCAAGTTACGTATACTGTAGATTTTCGCATGCGTATCTCATTCGCACACCGTCAAAAAGCGGGCACCTGCAACATCAATTGTATAACATGTAAATAACATAATATTTTATCATTTTAATCACGAAATTTAACATCACATAATGTAAAATGAACAATTAACAACTATTACACTTGCACACATTTATGTACCTTTAAATAAAATTTATAACAACAATACAAGTAATCTCTATTTGTTAAAATTATCTAGTACATATATATATATATATATTTTTTTTTTTTTTTTTTAACTAATTATTTATTATATTACCTGAATAATGATATCGCAGGACTAGTTTTTTATTTCTTTTGACATTATATAACGTGTGATTATTATTGACTATATGTAATATTTTCAAGAACTTACATTGGATGCTTTCCAATTGCTTAACACATCTTGACACACACGTACACAAAACCAGTTTATTGGTCACATATTATCTAAAATATCTTGTAAGATAATATGCAACCACTAACTGATTTTGTATAACATAGTGTACGTAACTGGAAAGCACCCATTATACATTTTAAAGAATATACAATTTTATTTATAGAATATACATTTTTATATGTATACATTTTTATTTAATGATTATCATCATTATTTGAATGATAAACTATACATTCGCAGAGTGCGACAATATCTCAATTCATATTTTATGTCTATTCGCGCTTGGTGAGCACAGCTTCGGATTGGTGTCGCCATTGGTATCGCCATTTTTCGGGCCATTATTCCGTGTGCCAATTACGCAGAGACCCACCAATGGCCAGTCTTTGCTTGAGGGTCTTTATGGCCCGATCTACAATAGATGGAGTAAGGAGTAGGAGTAGGAATAAGAAATAAGCAAATTGACCAATTCCATTCTCAAGTTTCAAAAATAATCGATTGTGATTGGTCTGTTTACGATATATTGTAGATCGGGCCTTACTGCTTATTTCTTAATGGTTCCTGCACACAGGATGCAGTAATGTTTGCCGCGCGGCGGAAGTCCGTGCGACAGCCAATCAATATATTGTTTTTCCGTAAGAGCTAGAAGATTATTACGGAAAGCAGCATATTGATTGGCTGTCACGCGAACTTCCATCGCACGGCAAATGTTACTGCGTTCTGTGTGCAAGAGCCATAAGCCAGCGGCACACGATGCTTGTTTTCATGCTGGATTGCTTGCTGGATGGAAATACTTTGTTCTGATTAGTGCATTTCTGAAGACGGACCAATCAGAATAGAGTATTTCCATCTAGCAAGCAATCCAGCACGAAAACAAGCATCGTGTACCGCTGGCTTTACTTCTACTCCTATTCCTTACTTCATCTATTGTAGATCGGGTCTATCCCTCATGACACATAAACGCGAATGAAATGATAAAGGGTGCTTTCCAGTAGCGTACACTGTGTTACACAAAACCAGTTTATTGGTTGCATATTCTTACAAGATATTTTAGATAATATGTGACCAATAAACTAGTTTTGTGTACGTGTGTGTCAAGATGTGTTAAGTAATTGGAAAGCAACCATAAACATACAAATATTTTAAGGGAATCTAACTCGAATGGCCAGACTACAGACTTCTATATACTACTAGAGTGCTAACTTCGACTCAGGGCAGCGATCACGTAACTTCGAGCGGAACTTTTCACTTTTTACTTTTCGCTCTATCGATTTCACGTGAACTTTTTCATTGTTCACGCAATCAAATAACTCTATGCGTGAAAAACACAAATCACTAAACATGGTTCCTATATGATTTCAATATCGGCCAAATTAGCTGTATCCATCGGCTGTAGAACATATAATCTTAAAAACATCGTTATAATCTTAGTACTGTTATGTTTCCTGTATCTCATCACAGCAGTAGCATAATATATTCCGTATTCATCATGTCACTAGATTTTCACTTTTTCGTCAGCACATTTCATGGCTAACAAGTTTACGTGAAAAGTTTCACGTTTCTACGCTTCGCCGAGTTTAGTGATCACGAGTTCACGTGAAACTTCACTTTTCACGTTTCCGTTCTAGGGGAAAAGTTACATGATCGCTGCCCAGTATATGGCCCCGAATTGTATGTACAGAAATCTTGCGCATGCGCCTTTTTGGTGTTCCAGAAGAAGAGGGGATATAAGTATAATAGGCGCGTTCAGCAGACACAACAGTTGTACAACTGTTGAGTGATTTGTAAACGTAATTGGTTTAAATATAGGGAACTAACAGAATAAACCAATAAACATCGAGTGCTCACTGAGCGCTTTTATCTGCTGAACGCACCCAATATGACCGATGCCGCCTTCTTAAATATTTATGTACATGTAGAGTGAAAAACGTCAGAATGAAATACGTTACAGTAAAAAATTTGTAAAAATAAGTGATTGATCAATTGTATACTTATATCAGAGTACAATAATGTCTAAAATGAGATGCTACATTGGATGCTTTCCAGTTGCATACACTGTTACACAAAACCAGTTTGGTTATAAAACCAGTTATTGGTTGCATATTATCTTACAAGATATTTTAGATAATATGTGACCAATAAACTGGTTTTGTGTACGTGTGTGTCAAAATGTATTAAGCAATTGAAAAGCACCCATTGTGAATGTCGGAACACCAAGGCTATGTTCAGAAATCCTACTTGATGGGTAAAGTTACTTTAATAAACCAATCATAATAAAGAAATCTTAGTTCCTTTTGCTCTTATTGCCTTTTGCTCTTATTTCTGTACATACTTTTCGGAGTGGGACCCGATTGATTACGATACGATTGGACACAGATTGTGATGATTGGTTCGACCTAGTAATTCACTAGGTAATTCTTTTCATCTGTTGGTTGTGTCCAATCGTACCGTGGTCAATCGGGACGCTCCCTACTTTTCGAGGCCATATACTGAGTCGAAGTTAGCAGTCTAATAGTATATAGAAGTCTGTGGCCAGACTCTGTATTTTAGGGACTTTATCGGAACGCAGCCTATGCCGATAGTGGTCACTGCAATGTTTACAAACTACTGTGTAAATAATTAAATTATATAATAGGACAAACCATCTATTTAGTTAGAAAAAATGGAAGATCGTTTGTTTATATTATGATGAGAAAAACGGAAAAAACAGCCAATGGTAATATCATTGTGCTGTTTACTTCTAACAATGTATTGTGTAACATCTTTCAATATCGATTTTTAGATTATTAAATGATCTCATTCGAGATAATTATCGTTGAACAAACTTTAGATTTCTTCAGTCGCATTTTCTCCCTGAATCTGTTTTCAGTAAGATCAACTATGGCAATACGGGATGCTTTAAGGTTAATGATCATATTACTACTCCTTGATGCTGTGCTAGCTATGACGCCGCCTTCGTTGTCGCCACCACCTTCGACGTCGCCACCACCTTCACCGTTTTCTCCAATAGTCATTCCATCAGCCACATATGGACAAAGTTATCAACGAATCATAAATACTACTGTTGAATATGTATTTTTATATGCTCGTAATGTAATTATTAATGTGATATTTCTCTTAATATTTTCCCTGTGTTTATTATTTTGAAAAAGTTAACAACATATATCTGTATTTGTACATAGGCATCATTGGAAACTGCAAGGATAAAGGTAGAAAGTAATGCTACCCATAGTTTTCCTTTAATAATAGCAGTGCGTCAAACAACTGGAATTCTATCTTGGCAAATACCATTGCTAGTTGATAGCACAGATTTAAACTCTGTGACATACAATAAAACTAGTAGAATTCTCTGTTCAACAAAATATTATCGATATGCAGTAAGAGATGAGAAGGAATTTATCATTGTCAGTATTTCTACAGCTAGTCGAGCAAATGTCTTTTTCAATCTTAGTGTGACGGAAATAGTGACAGAAGATTTTTACTTAAGGTAAATATACTATATTATTTTTTAAAGAACATACTTCATACAGCATAAATGGTCTAAAAAATATTTAGAGACATATGAAAGATATTCTATGTTTTAGATGTCTTTAAAATATCTCTGAAACATTTTAGATATTTGTGCTCTTTGGAATAGGAATTGCCATTTTTGTTAAATTTCTGTGTACAATCTTTACAGTCCAGGAATTGAAAAAGTGGTAGAAATCTCTCCATCTGAGCCTCTGTATTATGGTTACATCTTTCCAAAAGAAATGGAAAATACATCTGTTATTGTTCGTGTAGAATCAGACAATGACATTTGCATGACTGTGTCTATTCAGAATACATCAGTGAGTCTTGATGATGATTTATAATTGTCAACTAATAGAAATAAACTATATCTGTTTTTTTCAGTGTCCTGTATTTGACTTGGAACGAAATGTTGAATTTTCTGGTTATTGGCAGACTATAAGTAGGAGAGGTGGTATTACAATACCGGTGAGTACCACTATATCCCAGATAGCACAGGAATATTCTATGAATGTTCGATGGATATTCTTTATGAATATTTATATATTCTATGAATGTACTAAAAATACTTATATATTCATAGTACGTTCATAGTATATTTAAATAACACAATTATAAATATTCTATGAATATGCATAAAATATTTACAAAATGTAAATAATAGATATGTAAATAATAGATCAATCATTGATTTTGCTTTCACACTATTATAAAGTAATAATTTAAATATTTTATATTTCATAGATACATATCATTACTAAGCTATAATATTAAGCTATAATAAGTACACTTTATTATATTTGGAACATTATGAAAACTTTACAGGTACATGAAAGCATTGCAAATGCAAAGTAAACATTACAGAAAAACATGTACTAAGAACATGTTTTTTCTGTTATAAATATATTAATTTCGGTCTGTAATATTGTAAGTATATTCACATATAGAATATCTCATTCGAATATTCTGGAATTAAAGCATTCGCCTTTTATAATAATATTCGTAGAATATTTTGTGCTATTTGGGATATTGCACATAGAAATTTTTTATTGGCATGTTTTATGTATATGACATGTAATAATCGATGTCTTTATATATTATTATATTTCAGAGAGAAACTTATCCGCGAGGTTTTTTTGTCATACTAGTCGTTAAAGGTGATGATGTCGACTGCAATGACACGTCTATTAGCAGTCCCCTCCGTACCAAGAATGTTACATTAATTATAAATCCTACTATTACTAAACGTGATTATATCATTGCGACAGGATCCGTAATGACTATCATCGTGCTATTTTGTGTTTTATATATAACAACTGTAGTAATATTTAACATCAAAAAGAACAGAAAGCTTGAAAGGCTAGAGACGATAAATGATCAAAGTGAAGGAACCAATGAGCAAGCAGCGAGTCCTTCAACAGAGGTAATGGCAAATGCTATTGAAACTAAAGCTGCATTCCGTTATTCGCTACCAGTACTGAAAATCTGTAGTTCATTCCACTATATTGTACTGAAAATCATACTGTATTATTAGTATACAATTCATAAACTATAGATTTCGAGTACAGATAATGAATATAGGAATTCAACAAAAAATGTAGGCTTTAGATATATCTGACCATTCTCTAGATCAAAAGTTACTACAAATTTTCTTTCAGCCGCATCCACCTCTAGATAGTTATGCATCGTAACTGTTGATTATTCGAGAACGCGGCAGTAAAGTAAACCAAGCATCTGTGACATTTTGATAGCTTGACGTTTCGTTTACGTCAGTAAGGAAGCCTATCTGCTCTCATAGTAATTAGCAGTCACGACGTATGACTATCTAAAAACGGAGACGGCTGAAAGAAAATTTGTAATAATCCTCAATCTAGAAAATGGTCAGACATTTTTTAAATTGAATATAATTGTTAATAGTTTGTTTACAAATATATTTAATCATGTTTTATCAGAAACAATGGGACTCCGTAGAAGACGATTCATCGCTGGACGAGGATGATATTGATATAATGGAAGATGCACTCTCTGACAAGGATGTAATACGCACGAAACTGGTCCTCTCGGTTTGCGATCTCGCTCGTAAAGAGCCGAAGATACTGCGACACAAATCCCGTCTGTACTTTTACTACCTGGTAACTGTTGCGGTATTTTATACTCTGCCGGTCGTTCAATTAGCAGTAACATATCAGCGCGTGCTTCACACGACCGGAAATCAGGACATGTGCTATTACAACTTCTTGTGCGCCCATCCGTTGGGTATGCTATCCGACTTCAATCACATATTCTCGAACTTCGCGTATGTCCTGCTGGGTTTGCTGTTCATCTTTCTAACTTACTCGCGAGAGCACAACGAGTCGAATAAAGAGGAAGCCAAATGTTACGGCATACCGCAACACTACGGGCTTTTTTACGCAATGGGTACTGCATTGATAATGGAAGGCATATTATCTGCGAGTTATCATGTGTGCCCAAATCGCAGTAATTTCCAATTCGGTGAGTGGCAATAGTCATATCAATGACTAAAAAGTGATATCTCGTGTATCTGCTATTTTCTGCGAAACCCAGAATTTTTCTCTCGACTTATTAAAGACGTTTTATTTCTATTTAAAAATCTTAAAAACTAAATACAGAAAAAATTCGGTCGTTCAGAGCAAAGTAAATTTTCAAAATTTAATTTTTTGTTTCTGCTGAAAACTTTCGATTTCGCATATACGAAGTATCACTTCTTACCTATCGAGATGTCATCATTCGTATACTTCTCGTAAGTACAGTGTATTGCAAAACGGTTTAGTGAAGTTAGGAGCTCAGCAAACTGTCACAATTGAGAGTCAGAGAGTCCGTTTTGCAACCCTATAGCAGCACCCTATTGCAACCCTATTGCAGCACTATATACGTTTCCGCCGCTCACTGTCATCAATATTCACTGTGATCTATTCCAGATACCAGTTTTATGTACGTGATCGCTGTGCTATGTATGATCAAAATCTATCAAACTCGTCATCCTGATATAAATGCTAGAGCACCCGTAACATTCGGAATTTTGGCTCTTATAATATTCGTAGGACTAATTGGAGTCTTGAACGGCTCCACCTGCTTTTGGGTGATATTTACCATACTACATTTACTGATATGTTTCGTTTTAACAGTACAAATATATTACATGGGGCGATGTAAATTCAACAAAGGCACTTTTAATAGAATTATACAGGTACATATTTCTTTCTTTTTTCTTCCGTTTTTCTAATAACATCGCAAGATATTTATAGTCTTTGATTCAATCATTTTGCAGACATTCAAACATGACGCACGCTGTGGTATATGGCATTTATTGCGACCACTATATCCTAGCAGATTTATAATGCTTGTACTAGCGAATATGTGCAACGTCGGTCTGGCTGTGTTGGGAAATATGTATCAAGAAAACAATTTTGCTATCTTTCTACTAATTATATTAATGTCCAATTTAATTCTATACACTCTGTTTTACATCGTAATGAAGGTATGTATGTATGCATATTATTCCTAGTTTCTTTTTAACGCTAATTAATATAAAAATTGTACTCTATCCAGCTGTGTCACAGAGAACGGATTCTTCTAACACCTGCGATCTACATCATCTTATCCATGCTGTTTTGGGGAGCAGCTTTGTACTTCTTCGTAAATAAAACGATATCCTGGGCCCTCACACCAGCCCAGTCCCGCATTCATAACAAACCTTGCAAGTTACTTAATTTTTTCGATTCTCACGACATATGGCATTTTCTTTCGGCATTAGCAATGTTCTTCTCCTTTATGGTATTGCTTACTCTAGATGATGATTTAATAGATGTACATCGTAGTCAAATACCAGTTTTCTGAAGATATTTCCTCGGCTAGGAATTATCAACAAATATTGTTATACATAATTTTTTAGTATTTTATAAGATTATTCAAATATATACAATCTATGATATAGGATGTTAATATTATCAAAAATTATATAAATTAGAAAAGAATTAACGACACTTTTGTGATAAAAATAAGTCACAGATATTTTTTGTGTAAAAGACTCTTGTAAACTCGTATGTATTATAGACTGATACGAAGACAAGTAAGCACATAAATGCATACGAGATTTTATAAGTTTTCCATTAAAATCAATAGGCCGTCTTGACTTAAATGTGCTTTAGAGATAACGGATACATTTCTTTCGAAAAAAACAGGAACAAAAGTTAAAATTAATATGATATATGTACAACGTTTTTGTTGCGTGCATAAAAAATAATGTAATTTAAGCGTGGCAAATGCGCGAGCGTATATTGTATATATAACATTTCTCTTTATTTTTACATCTCTTTCTTCAAAAAATAAATATATATTTGCGCATGCACACACACATACACATACACATATATATATATTATATATTATATATATATATATATATATATATATATATATATATGCACATACACATATACATATATACATATATATATATATATATATATATGCTATGCGCGTGCGTGTATATATGTATATGCAGATGTACATTCATGTGTACGTATTTTATTATATATAAAATGTTGCATATATATCTTAGTGATGCATGTTCTTTCAGAGAAGCTAAATTAGTAGAAATGACGTCTTATTGTCAAAGTACTTAATAGTCAGAACGTTGTAAAAATTGAGAATTAAAGGTTGTTGAAAATAATATGCTATAAATAAAATAAATAGATAAAATAAAGTAAATAAAAGTGAATAAAATAGTAAGAAAATAGTAAAAAATGTTGGAATTAATGTCAATTTATCTTAACGCGCAAAAATAATGATCTACTTTCAATTATTGACAACGATTAATAATTTACTTTAAGTAAGATTTATTTCTACATTCACGATCATTTAAAGACAATTTATAATTATAGGAAGTCGAAATGTTATATAGAATGATGTTTCCTTCTGACATTTTTCTCATAAAAGAATATATTTAGAATTTTTCAAGGAATTTACAGCTGAAGGAACATGTGACGTATTACTTGAATACCCTATATAATCGCTTTAAATTCCCACAAACATACATATAATTCATCAGTTCATCACAATTGTAGAATAGTAGCGACATGCTTTTCACAGGAATACATGTGCCTAAAAAGATTATCCATTTTCGATTATATAGGGTACTTTGTAAAACTGTAATCAATGTAGAGCAATTATTATATATAATTATGTATTATGTAATTATATATTATATAATTAAATATATATTATAATAATATATAGTATAATATTAGTATATAACTAATATTATATATATATTATATATATATTAATTATATATTATATAACGATATGTAACTATTACTATAATACAAAGAACAATTGTTTGACAACAACAAATTAATCATCAGCGAAAGAATTTGGTTTAACTTTATTAATTGGAATTCCTCTCTAAATGTTTTCAACTTTACATTTGCTAGAATTTGAAACGATGAGAAACTGCGATTCCTTCAATGTCAAAAGGAACAAAGTCGCATCTATATTCATTAAAAATTATCCGTGAAATCTTGTGGAATATTTGAAAATATCACCTACTCTCTGATAGCCAGCAACCCTTGACATTTTGCAGACGGAAAAAGCACTAGTACATCATTAGCGTAACAAAAACGTCAAAGACTTATAAATACATTCTATATCACATTCATTCTATAACACATCCTCAACAAAATGTATTTTCATTTACCTAAAAAACCTCGTCCGTCGGCAAAATGTTAATTAAGCAAAGGTGTCTGCATTGATATGAATAATGATGCATCCTCGACGATGAATTGTACTTTTCATGCACGTGTATTTAATATTAACAAAGTTGAAATGAGCAATTGACACGGACGCACTCAGGACGAGACGCTCGAGTCCGTGTGATGTTCCTGCCCCGTCGTCTCCAATTGCGACAAAGTTCTTAACAACTCCGCCCGTTCGGTCGGTTGCAATCTGTGCGCGATTTCTAATACCGCGTCTAATCTAATCTCGGGATAGCTTTCCAACGCCTCCTTGATACGGGTTACAACCGCGTCTCTTTTCACGCACGTTATGTTGCGCGATACAACACTGTTCTCCGTTTTACGTTGCACCTCTAGCCAATAGACTGCAGCTTCGTCTTGATCCCACAGGTAGGACTCTGTCGCACCTTTGTCCTCGATGAACCAACGTCGAAGCATCGCGTCTACTTGCCTGACGTCGAGACTGGGGAGCGTCGACAAGATTTCCGTCCTAATCTCTTCCTCCAAGAGTCTACGCCGCAACCGCCAATAAAATAGCCGCCGTGCCTTCTTCCACGGTATTATCTCGTGGATCGCATTCTTCTCGAACATTCTTTCCGGCGTGTCATGGAGCTCAGCGAAATGCACAGCGACTTGATGATACATCGGTTCTAGGATCTGCTCGCGTTTACGAATCTGCGTCTCGAGCTCGGTTCGTTCCTCCGTCGTGCTTGCGACCGACAGTTTTTCCTACGAGAAGCAAATTAATGTTAACGCGATGATTAACGAATTTAGCAAAGAATCACCTGTACTCACTTTTAGCTTGTGTATAACCAGATCGACTCTATGCATGGTCTTTACGATATCCTTGTTCCGGAATTTGATTTCTACGATCGCTTCGGGTTCCAGAATGCCACCTCTACTGGTATTGTCGGCGAACATCTCCATATAACGAGGATTTATCATAGGGTCCACGACGGCCCACGCACCACCTCTGAGTTCTCCGTTCGGTGGAATATAAACGAACACTGGCCTACAATATTCCCGTAATCCGTCCACAATATACGCGCCGAACTTGACAATTTGTTCGTACATATCTGTCAAAAACAAATCATTGAAAATAAATAATTAAAAACGAAGAACGATGAACTTGGGGAATTATTCATTGATAATCGTTACTTAAAATTTATTTCACGTGAGAACCTCAAATCTAAATACAAAGTTAGACTTAAGTTTTTTAGTTGAATTAAATGATATGTGACATATTTGTAATCGCGACTCAACTGAAAAGCCCGTATCTAATTCGAAATTGAAATCTGAATAGTTCACTTGAGATGAATTTATTATTGACATGCGACTTGAAGACTCTCATCAAGAGAACAAGCAAGAGCAATGTACTTCGCCTCACCTTTCATGCCTCCCGAAAAGCCTCTCCAATTGGCGAAGATAAATAGCGGTATCTCCTCTTTCCCGAAATCTTTAATAGCTTGAGCGGTTTTATACGAGCTATCCGGGAACCAGACTTGCCCCGCCTGGGATATGGTTTTCGCTTCCGAGTCCAAGTTCGCCGGGTCGGCCGGTAAATGCAGCTCGACGGTTCTCGTCTCAACGGCGATTACGCCGCACGGTATGCCACCAAGTCTGGCTCGTCCTGTCACCACCGTTTGCGCCCACGGTCTCATTATCTCCTGTATGTGTGATAAAAGACACAAGTTAACGGTGTATCGACTCACAATCAGCAACGAGAATGAATTAGATTGATGCAAAAGGTTTGTCTTGTTTGTCAAATAAGATAGAATATGAAATTATTCAATTTTTTTCACAAAGAATTAATAATTGTTACAAATAAAATAAACAATTTGTCTCGATATTTTTTCAAGTAACTAGCGAGGACCTCCTATTTCTCTTCTAATATACAAATTTTTTCTACAAGTATTTAATAGAAAAAAAGTATTTAATAAAAAAATCACCAATCTCTTTAGCTGATAAAAGCGAAAAGCAAAGCGAAACGAGAGAGACTCACGTGCCACGAGTTCCGGTCGAAGAAGCCGCTCTCCCAGATATTGGACTCGTTACAATGTCTGCCCTCGAGCATCCATCTCGGGTCGTAGGCCGTTTTTGTAGGCATGTAAGTGATCTCCCTGTCGATTGAGTCCACAACGGGCAACAACACTGGCACCGGGACACCTTTGTTCTTGGGGAAATAGCTGAGCCACTTGAGAACGGTCGCCACCCCGTCAAGATCTCGCGCGTCGGTCGCGTGTGACACTCCGTTATAGTGCATGACTTGCGTGCCGCCCAGCTGATTGTTACTGGCATAAACCTCGCGACCCAGAACAGCATTCAATGCTCTGTATCCTGTTAGGATGATGTGCGAGTTTTCAATCTGGATGACCCTTTGGCCAAGACGCAGCAAATAAGAACCGATGCCGATCGCACGGCACGACACCACGGATATAGTGATGATCTCCTCGTAAGCTTTCGACGTTTCACCGGCAATCAGACCGGCGTATTTCAAGTTCTCTACTCCCAGATCATTGTTTTTACCGATAATATCCGTAATCCTATAACGAGACTCGCCGGCAGGATCCTCGATCAACGAAGCTTTTACCGAGTTTAAAGGGGTTAAGCGCGTGTAATCGTCCGGCGTAAGATAGATGTACTTGAAACCTTTCTCCGGCTCGTTCTCGTCCTCCCACGCGATTCTGAAGAGAGCCTTCACCTCCTCGGCCAAGCCGATACGAGCCCCGGAATTGGCACTAAAGTATATCCGTGGACAGCCGAGCTTTCTGGCTTTCTCAGAGGCTCTGCAAAACACCAAGTCTTCGCGCGTCCCGAAAGAGCCGATCAGATACGTCAGATCGTTGGCGATAAGTATGATATCCCTGCCGAACGGATATTCCGGAGTGTACAGAGTCAAGCGCCACGCGACCATGCCGACATCGTTCTCACCCGGCAATCGTTTCTGCTCGACCAGCTGGTCTCCGTCTAATACCAACTCCACGACATCCATCGCCGGGCTAGGGATTGTAATTGAATCGAGGTTCGGTTGTCTCTCTTCGATATACTTCTGCCACATTTTCTCGACTTGCTGACGAAACATATCCGGCAAATCGTACACATAGGTCGTGCCAGCGCTCTGCGCTTGGAACCTCTTTGCCTGCAAGTAATCTTTGGTCATATACGGCGTCGAGATCGGAAGCCCGTGCATAGGACCCGGCCGCCAATTGACCGCGTTCGCCGTCGTAGGTGGATAAGACTCGAAACGGATAATACCCGTCTTGGGATCGGTGGCTTCCGTATAAAGATGCAAATCGATGCTATATCCGCTGTCATTGGCGATGCAGAGACGTACGTTGGAAGTTGGCTTGCCCGGAGCAGGTCGAATGGTCATTTTAATTTCCGCCTGTCGTACATGCAATTTCCACAATCTCGGCCCGTACCTCAACACCATACTGGTCACACTCTCTTCTATTCTGGCGGGATCCATGATAACCGTAGGGACGAAGTTCAAAAAAATATGGTTGCACTCGGTACGCTTGGCAAGGGGATGCGAGAACGCCACTTCCAATTCATCCATGGCCTCGAGCAGAACGCGTTCGCCCTCGTTGTGAAGGTAATCGAAGCTGGCTTCTTTTGTAATGAGATCGGAGTGCCGTATGATTGATCGAATGAAGAAACGATAATCGGTAACTTGTTGGCCTTTCGCGACCTTCGCCTGTCCGAGGTACAAATGCATCTTCTGGTTGGACGTCGGTAGTGCCTCGAGATCGTACGTTCTCATGCGATTCAGTTCCAATTGGAAGGCGCAGCCAGGCTCAAGATGCCGGTAGATTCTGTCCTCAATGAAACCGTCTCTCTGACGGAAAGTGAAGAACTTGGGGAACTGTTTCCTCTTGAGCGCAGCGAACGTCACTCTTCGAATGCCGCGGGATATCAATTCGTCCTTGTTGCTCGCGCACCAATCCCCGAACAATCTGGCCATAGTGGCGTCGTCCTCGGTGCCGTCTTCCCTAACAGCGATGCTCAATATATGAACCGGCTCATCGGTGGATCTATCGCCGGCGGTTGCCGACGACGCCGTTGCCGTTGCCGCACTATCAGCTACGCTCAATGACACGTTAATCGACGTGCTGTGTCGAGACTCGCTGGCGGCAGCATCCACCGCCTCTAGTAGTTTCGCAGACACCACCGGCGTGGGGCTTGACAGATCCTCTAGCAAGTCTAAGACCTCGTCCGTATATTGGTTAAACTGCTCGAGATCTTGGAAGGCCGCCATCGCGCCAGCTCTGTGATCCACCAACGATTGATTTTGCCGATTAGGATGGTTACTGGGCAAAACGAATTGGAAGTACACCAATGGAATCTCGCCAGACAGCTCCAAGTGCTGTAAGCATGTGAGGTCGTAGCTGATGTAAGCTCGCCGTACGTAGACCTCTAATGCAGCGTTACACACCGCACGATTACAGTGATAGAAGAAGTCATGAAGAATATCGAAGATTGAAGTTTCCGAGAGGATAAGTTTCTGTAGATTTTCCGGGTGAAAATCGTGTCCGTACATATCCACCGCCGAGAGGAAAATAGATTCCATCTGATTGTGTCTTAGCTCATAGGCGGGCTGATGGGCGGCGATCAACACCTGCCTGGCTCTCAATGCAACGCGACTGTGTTCTGTTCGATTCAAGCTAGTCAATTCTGTCAACGTGCTGGACAATTCGTCGGTGAGACCAGGCTCGTTCGCCCACAGATGATCGATCAGCATAGTAACCAAAACGTTCTTCTTCGTCACTTGATTATGACTAAATATCATACCCGTAATCGTAGTTACGTCGTCCTTGTGCTTCTCTATTAACGCGGAAACACACTTGTCATAATGTCCCTGCTGAAATTGGCTTTCGACTGTATAATACTGCCGGAGAAGCTCGTGCACGGCGGTCTTCATACGACCGCGTATACCGTTGCGATATCTTTGAACCAATTGCACAATAGCTTGGGTAGTCAAGAAGAAAACGTCACGTTCAGCTCTCTTGGACAATGTCGCCGCATGTCCGTCGATCACGGCGGCGATCTGCTGACTAGGGAACTGAGCCAAGACCGACGTGATATTTCGCTCATACAGGGACATTAACTTGCGAATCTTTTTCTCCACCGAGACAGGAATTCGACCGGATATTGTCGCGATTACCTCCTGCAGCTCCAACAACGGTAGGTTGGGATCGCGTAGCGAGAACATAAACTTCTCAATGAGATCACGCAGACGCGGCAGATGATACGGATCCGGCAGACAGTAACCAGCCAGAGTGTTTTCCAGAGCGTTTCTATACTTGGCGTGAAGGTGATTCAGTTTCTCCGGTATAGCCGACGCCGCTGCCGCGAGGAATTGTCCCGTATATTCCTGCGCCTTCGTCACCAGTGACGGGTCATCCAGCTCGAGATGCGCAATCAATGTACCAGCTTCCAACACAGCACCGGGTCTCTTCACGTAGTACACACTACCCGCCTCGCTGACAGTGATGGTCATTATCATTTTCATCACTTCAATCTCAGCGTATGTTTGACCAGCACTGACGTGACCACCGTCCTCGACTAAGAAGTTAATCAACTTGCCGGCAGACGGTGATCTCAGTAAAGATGGATCATTGTCCTTCTCGAAGATACACGTCTGGTTTCCAATAACAATTCTATAACGATCCACTTCTTCCCGCATGTAAGTCGTGAAACTGGCACCGTCTAGCGAAAGCAGTAACCCCCCATCCGACATACGATGAACTTCTACTTCTCTGTAAGAATTATTCATCACGAGAAAGTAACTGTTGGGACCGGATTTGGCAGTTTGCACTTTGTACTTGTATTCATCGTTAATGAGCTCTACCTACGACATATATAAAAATACGTAAAAAAAGATCTGATGGAGATATGATGCAACAGCTGTATAAATTCGAGGTTGCCCGAAAACGTTACGCAAGTTTAGAAGAGAAAATATAGACTTACATCAACGACGTTGTCTAAGTCATTGCTAGCTTGAATTTGACCTTTCTCCAAGGCTGTTTGAAATCCAGCAAAAGCGGCTGTGATCGTTCTATCGGCGATATGAAGTGCACCGCAAGTAACGGCCAACAGAACGTCCGGTTTGTCGCTTCGCACACGTTCCGCAATCAGTAAATCGAGCCAGGCAGTATCTATATTATTCTGCAGAAAGGATTCAGTTTCCAGTAAAGTGATCAGGTACTCGACAGTTGTCCTAAAGTCGCCTCTGATACTCAATTCTTTCAAAGCTACGACCAAATTTTCTCTAGCCTGATCGCGATTTTCACCCCACGAAAAGCAATGGCCAAATTGCGAGTCTGCAAATTCGTGCAGCCCACCCGATGCTCCAACTGAGAAGTAGCCCCACACGTTCTTGGATGATCGAAAATTTAATTCCTGGACCGTGCCAGAACTTGGCTTGAAGCCTAAAAGCAAATCAATTATCAATAATTCACATTTGCACGAAACGCAACGCAGTGCTCTTGTGAAAAATAATTTTACCTTCATCCGGATTTTCGCTAGTAATTCGAGCCGCGATAACGTGACCCCACGGTTGAGGTTTATGACGTGGCTGATCGAAATCGATCGAATTGTCGCCCCAGGGACTCTCGCCATATAAAAGACGTATATCTTTGATTTGATGCAGAGGTAAGCCCATTGCTATCTGCAGCTGAGCCGCTGGCAAATTCACATCCGACACCATCTCGGTACAAGGATGTTCTACTTGGAGGCGAGGATTCAATTCCAGAAAGTAATATCTACCGGTCGTGTCATAAAGATATTCGACGGTACCCGCGCTAACGTATCCTACCATTTTTGCTAATCTCACAGCAGCCTATAATTTAATAGCAAAAAGTTAATAACACTGCAATAGTTAACTATAAGTCATCGAGAGCACATATAATATTCACTTTTTCCATCTCTTCGAAAACCTCTGGCTTGGCTATCACGGCTGGCGCCTCCTCAATAATTTTTTGATGTCTTCTCTGGATAGAGCAATCACGTCCGAACAATGATATCGCATTACCATAATTATCAGCTAATAATTGCACTTCTAAATGACGAGCGCACTTGGCCAGCTTCATAATAAATATCGGTGAGCCAGGTATCTCAGTTTGCACTTGTCTAAACGTCATAATATTAAATAATATTAAGTTATACGGTGTAACCTAATGAAAATTATATATATATTTCTCATATTAAAACTGTATGAAAATTTCAGAACTTACCTAAACAGAGCTGGTAATTCTTCGGCGTTTTCAACCTTTCTGATTCCTTTACCACCTCCGCCTTCGCTAGCTTTTATCATAATCGGAAAACCGATTTTATTAGCCGCTGCTAGAGACTCTTCTACGCTGGCGACACATCCTTTCCTAAAAAGTTCCGAAGATATTTTGATCTTCTTCCCGCTATACTGCGCTTTCAATTCCGATCCCGACCAAGGAAGAGTCGGCACGTCCGCGGTCTGGGCGACTATACTGGATGCGATTTTGTCACCTAGGGCCCACATAGCCTTTTCGGACGGTCCTGCCGGGAAACGTAAAAATGTAAGAAATGTAAAATCTTGGGCGACACGAAAATGTGTTAATGTACGCGCGAATATTAAAGTCCCACAAAAGCTTTTCAACAAACTTAACGATTCTTATGCAACATCGAATTCTTATGAAACAACAGATCCGGGAAACGCAAACTGCGCGCGTGTTTCTTTTCTTTTCTCTCTTTTTTCTTTAATTTAATCCGACTTTTTGTGTTTATACCAATAAAGCAGATGTTATTTTTGTGGAGTAGTTCCGGAAGTTTAGGATTTTCCGAAGCGTGGCCCCATCCGGCCCAAACTGCTTGAACTTGAGTACGTATCGCGATATCGACGATCAGTTCCACGTTAGCGTAATTGTTGTTGTTGGTCCCACCCGGTACAGGCACGTACTGGTCTGCCATTTTGATGTATTCCGCGTTCGCCTTCAAATCTTCCGGCGTGACCATCACCACAAAACGCACGGCCCTCTCGTTTTTAAACATCTCGTAAGACCATCGTCGAATCGATCGCATACATTTAACTGCTGCGATACCATTGTTGGCAATCAACACCTGAGATGAAATACGTATAATGTTAAAACTCATGTATACCAGTCAGCTTCAACATTGAGTACATACTTTCTTTAGAAGATATAATTGATGTGAAGACATAAGTAAACCAAGCATAATACGAATGTTTCGAGAAAAACGAAGTAAAAGTTATTGCATTTATAAAGTCAATGATTGCGTCCAACAGAAAAAGCTACGTTGCAACTGTTGTAAAATTCATGAATCTTATTGGTCTATGTTCTTATCCCAGCGAGAAAAGTTACATCGATTCGACGTCTATTAGACGTCTATATGAAACGTCTATCTACTATCTACGTTTAATCTAGATTAAGATCTATATCGATCTAAAAACAGTCCACATTTAGATGTCTAAGACCGTCATTTCGACGTCGATTCGATGTCGATCAATAAGTCATTTCTCACTGGGTTGTTTCATAAAAATAACTAATTCCTAATTTTCTTCATGTCTTATAAACTGCTAGAAACCGAAGATTGTCAAAAACACACGCTAAAACTTTCGCGAATCCTGTCTCAATAATTTCGAATCCGAAGCGGTCATCCATCCATCCTGACTGCCTTGCTTAACCTGATCGAGCGGCATGCGGTGTTCCAATGATGACTCCAACGATATTCTTACAATTTATGCTTATAAAATGTATACTTACAGTATTCACAGTATATTATAACGTACCTAGCAAATACACGCGTTGATTCGCTTATCTATTTTATTTAATATCTCTAAAGTTTATATAGTTATTTGCAAAATGACTTTGACCATTCCTTCCATTTTAATGTTTTTCGAGTAATCTGACATTCCTATCTTTGTAATACTTACAAAAATAATATACAAGATAAGATAATATCTTTGTAATATTTACAAAGATTGAATATTTTGTAATAATTAAAACAGAAATCTAAAAAAAACTGACGTTTCCACTTAGAATAAATTTGTTATGCAAAATGCGCGCGATAGCAGTAAGAAATGACTTATTGATTGACGTCGAAATCGTCAAATAAACGTCGATCGATAAGTCATTTCTCATTGGAATATCAGACGTCGATTCAATATCGAATAGACGTCTAGAGAGATTGTAAATAATCGACAAAATAAAATCCCGAAATTTTATCGAAAACTCTCTTTTAATGGTCAATATATTATGAATGGATTCTAAAACATTAAAATTTATTCAAAATAGAAGACGTCTAAATTGCCATTTTTCTAAACGTGCATTTAGACTAGACGTAATTTAGACTTCTCCGACGTTGGTTAGACGTCTACGTTCTCGCTGAGTAATATTGATTGAAGAACACATACCAATTGAATTATCGAATTTTACAACAGTTATAAAGCATCTTTCTCTGCTGAATACAGCCATTACTTGTTGCGTGTGTGATTGAAAACATTTGCGAAGACCAGGCTCGATTCACTTATGTTTTCAATTTTCTCTCGGCGCCCATTCCTTACGCTTATATTTACCTTGTTGATGACTCTGGTGCCACCGAAACGATGGACAAATTCTTCGGGGGTTGCGACGGTGAAGTCCTTCTCTTGGAGTCGGCTTTGCGCTTGAATCATCACCGTCCCCTGCGACATGCTGGGCCTGTTAAAAATCACATACATAGTCACAATTCTGCTCTACATACTTTTATCATTTAATTTGCACTCTTATATTATTAATTTTCGTAAATTGTAACGCACACACACAAGTATGCGTTAATCATTAATATAGTTTATTATGAGCAAAAACATATCGTATCATCAATCCAACCGAATGCAAAAAGTAAAGTCAGATTATCCGCTCAAATAGCTAGTACGCAGCGCTGTGATTTCACACACATTCGTAATATCACAATACTCGATTATTTTATTTTAAACGCAAAATAACTCAACAAGAATCAACCGGAAAGATCACAGATATTAGTGCGCATGTGGCAGAAAACATTGGACGACCACGAACGCCAAAAACAAAATGTGATTACGTTTGTCCTAACGTCGACAGATATTTCGATCGTGACTCGTCTGTATTCTCCTGTTCAGGCTTGCTACTTTCTTCATCGTTCTTCGACATGTTCTTAGAGATACGCGCCAGTAAATTGTCTGAGGACTTCCAGTTTGGATCCTTCTCTGTCTTTTCCGCCAAGATAAACCTTTTCATTCTCCTCATTGCGCAGCTTGCAAATAAATTTATCCAAATGGTCGTCAAAATCCGTTGACAGATGTGAATAAATGCGTGGAATGTCGAATAACGATCGATTGGTGTTCCATTATACATCAAACTTTACTTTTGCACGAATAATGTGAGAAAATATGCGAAAAAGAGTAATTATGAAAAGTGTTACTTGTTACTCCTGGTTTCAATGTTAAATAATCTTACAGCTTATGGGAATATTCCAAGCAGAACAGAAAATCACGATGACGTTAAATCAACGAGAAAATAATTGAATCATGATGGAAAAGTGAGTTTTTATAGTTATTTTGATGTCATCGAAATTCTTTCTTCTGCCTGAAATATATTCGATTTTCCGCATTTGCACATTACCACAAAAAATTACCACTTTGCCCACCCATGTTATTCATTCTCATAAAAAATGTTATATTACATAAAACTACAAAACGAAAACAATGTTGAAGAAACAACAATGAAAAAACAACGTTCTTATAAAATGAAAATCCATTACATAAGCGTTAATATAAGCAAAAAATCGGTTAAGTTATTCAGTTTCAATGATCGACGTCAAAATTGACGATCAATATTCTGAGGCGTGACCTTGTATTGGTCTCAAGATACATAATTTAAATAAAATATGAAGGTATTGTAGTTGCCTGCAATACATATATCCAGTAAATAAAGTGCAAAACAAATGTGTTATTCAGTAGTATAAAAAAATATGTATAAAAAATCTATATAAAATTTAAATAAAGAGAATATTTCACAGAGAGAGAGAAAATTTTTCATTGATCACTACACATATGCACAGTTTGTAAAACTTCGAATTTCAAAACTCAATTTGTCGATGAACGAAGGAGAAAACGCACGCATTTATCGTCGCGTTAGCCGTCACGTTAGAAAGACCAATGCTCACTAACTAGTCCTCAATACGGTATTCCTTGACTGACGGTTTTTTCGCACCTCGACGCACGATAATTCCCCTACTTTCATGACTTGCGATACTTGAGAGTAGGGAGAAACATATATGCATCATGTAATAATCATTTTCGACCACGCACTGAGAGAAAAAAATAGTTGGAATAACTATAATCTCACTATATTTTATAGTTCGTTTTGGCCTCAAACATATATTTATAGTTCATCTAAACATGAAGATATAGTAGAATGAACACAGATTTATAGTCACCATCTTATTACTCTATATATATGGTAAAGCACCTTTTGGGAATATAGTTACATGTACCTATATTTGCCAAATATTCCAATTGTATTAACTATATAAAATAGTTAATTTCTCTTACCATTCAATATTTGCTATCTTACTATATTTTTTATTCCAAATAATTATAATTCTTGGTAAACATTTTATACGGGTCAGTTATACTATGCTTATATTGTAAATATTACAAATAATATGGTAACATTTACTATAAAAATTATATTTCTAACTATAATCTTTTTACTATGTCATTATAGTTCCAAATATCATATATTTTTCTCTCAATGCGTGTTATTCAATTTCAAATATTTTCAGATAACGTTAGTATAAATCCCGTTCTATCTTCTTCTTCCGTAGAAAAGAGTGACGTATGAAAACATTACAGACAGTAGCAATACCAGTACAGATGAATGCAAATATATGAATGCAAATATATGAATGCAAATATATTTCTTTTCGTTATTTTTTGCATGTAATTTTGACGGATAAGTATTCCTCTCAAATATTCTTAGCGTGAGATATTCCGCTATCGTATACACAAATATGACGCACGCTGAAATATGACAACATCAAGTGTAGCACATTAAAAAAAATTTGCAAATTTTATGTATCGATATTGTCATACGACGCCACCATGCCAACATGTGATTTCGAAATTTGCTTACCAAGCACTTGCTTATTTAGTTTACGGGACGAGGAGCCATCGTCAGCTACATGTGAAAGTGGAATTCCATAACCATTGACTCCTCTAAAAGACTGCTCCTTCATCTCTGTCATGAATACGACAGTCGTTATACAGACTCCCAATCGAGCTCAAGTGAATTAATCATATTGAACCTGATGACGCGACAAGGTTATACTCGAGTATTAAAATGCAGCGTAAAATGTATTATGTAATATGTTAGATGTTTTATATATCTTACATTATCGCTATACACGACAGCATTGTATCGAGTGAGGAAGAGACAATTCCGCTCGTGTAATTTTTCGCGTTCCCCCAAATAAAAGTTTGTAAAACGAGACCTATGTAAAAATCTCTAGCGTCCGACTATAAGAATTTAATTTTTCTATACGCAAAAAGTTAGAATTTTGTTTGTAATTATTTATAGTAACAATAATTTCGTTTATAGTTTCATCCATCAAAAATTACAAAAACTTAAAGAAACGACACGCACCCGACTTTTAACAAATTCATTTACACGGTCTTGTTTAGAATCGTTTGTAGTTATTTGTAGTGCTTTCCGCTTCGTTTATAGTCAAACCGTTTAAATATTATATGGATTTAAGGAATTGCAAAATACATAACTTTACTTCGATGTATTCCGTTAATTTTTAAAATTACATATTTTGCAATTCTTTAAATTGACAGAACTTTTCGACTACAAATGAAGCGGAAAGCACTACAAAAACTATAAATAATCATGAACAAGATAGCGCGAGTGGATTTGTGATATCTTAAAGTCGAGTGCAAGTCATTTTTTTTAATTTTAATTTTTAATGAAACTAAAAACAAAATTATTGTTACTATAAACCACTACAAACAAAACGCTAACTTTTTGTATATAGAGAAATTAATAAGTTCTTAAAAGTCGAATTTCAAGTTCACACAGGTCAAAACAAGCGCATCACGCGAGTTGCGCGTTTTACATTTATTTCTATCAGCTTATGCAACTCGCATAAGCTCGTGTACGTTGTACACGTTAATACTGAAGATAAAAAAAAGAAGAAGAATCTTGTCATTGCTCGTTATCAACTCGTCAAAGACATCTAGTGAGCTGATAATCGCATGAGGTTGAGTCAAAACGCATTGCGAAAAATAATATGTTGTTTTCCTTTTTGGTGCATTTTTTTAATAGGTACTCTCTCTCTCTCTCTCTCTCTCTATATATATATATATATATATATATATATATATATATATATATATATATA